CATATGACCTTGGAGCTAAGTTGGGTTCAGTCATGGAGCAGTCTGAGATCAGCCCTATGTACAGCTGTGAAATCGGGATAGGTAAAGCTGGTGTGAGAATTAAATGAGCTCGTGCATGTCAGGGTGTGTGATGTGTAGTAAGAATTCCATGTTAACTGTCACTTTCAGCCATGAGATACAGCTACACAGGTAAATCTCAAGACAGAAAGTGATAAAGAGGAAAGTTTTCCAGCAGGGATGTGTCATGCTAGAGGCATGTTGAACTGGAGAAGCATGGTGGCAGCATCTGTGTATTTACCCAAACAACCAGAAAAAATGCAGTGAAAGAAAATCTTCCATACAAGGACTGTGGTTAACTTTGGCTTTGGTGGTTCTTAACTGAGTTGCTTGAACTGTGCAAGAGTTTTGGGACTATGGAAATGTAATCCAAGTATGAAATTGAATTTTAAAAATCAACTCACCTTCAGATAGTTCTAGTTGACATGCAAAGATACAATATTGAATGCCAAACTAGCAAATCACTATGACTAGCTTCTAAAGTGTCAGTGCTGTTTGTTAAAGGTTACAGTGTAAGTAACTTGAAGGAATCAGAGCTCTAGTCATCCAGTCAATCATTTTGGCAGAAGACGTTAATTTTGTTTGAATCACCTGGGTAATTGTGGCTCTGTTATTTGACTCCTGGTACAGTGACAGGCAGCTTTATTTTATTTCATACACTGTTCTATTACTTCTGAGGTGAATAACAAATGTCATGTCCACCCATACTTGTGTCTTCACTTCATAATAATTGATTAGGTCAGAATTATCATTTGGATAGTTTGAGATAGTCTATATGCCTGTTTTCTAAGCTTTAGAAGGAATACCTTAAAATACAAAAATTAGAAAAAGGTCAATGTTTAAATACTTGCTAAAATTACAGCAGTGAGATACAATTCTCATTCATCAGACTGTGAGGCAAGGGGACCATTCTGTGGTGTTTGACTACTTTTTTATAATACATGCACAGTATTCCTTTTTTGGAGAAGATATGTTTAGTGACTATAAAAAACATTACACATACAAAATATTAATATATTTTCATTAAAAATTCAAGTAGCACAGACGGTCCTGGAATTCTTCATTCAGCCCCAACTCCTCCCATTTCAGTCCCCCCACAGAGGTAAACATTGTAACAGTTCATCAGATATCTATAATTTGCATAGTCATGTTAGGTAAGTCCTATTACTTTTTTAATTAGCAAAAACAGCAAAGAAAGTTCATTTTGAAAAGAATGTACTTGCTGACCCCTAGTGGTGTGATTTAGTAACACATTTATTTTGAAATAATTTAGACCAGAATTATGACTTAGGTTAAAACAGTTTTACAGTGACAGAGAAATGGATAATCTGAGATAACATCTGGATGGTTCAAGCCTATGTGTTGTTCCCTCCAAATAAACAGATAATTGGGTGATGGTCAATAAATTATTATAGAATTTATATCTGAGATACTGGTTTATACCATGTGTTTGAATATTTTATCGTCATCATAATCATATTCAAAACTAAACAAAGTTTTCATGTGAAAAATAAAAGCTTTGGCTTTCCGTTAGACATTGGATCAGAAAGGTACACTTGCAGCTTCACCATCCGAGACTCGCCGACCCATTTTGTGAATGCAGCATCCTGGGGCAGCGAAGACTACATAAGATCACTTTCTGACAGCTTCAGGGTTGGCGACTGTGGTAAGCTGGTACTGATTCTCTAATTTTTTTAGTTAAAGTATCATTAATATACTACTTATGTTGGTTTCAAATGTACATCACAGTGATTCAACAGTCCCCGTGATCAACTTATATTGTGATTGCCCCCTAGCCCCCTACCCCTGCGCCCATCCCAACCCCTGCCCCTTGGTGACCACTAGTCACTTCTCAGTGTCTAGGGGTTTACTGCTGTTTTGTTCCTTCTGTTTTGCTTTGTTTTTATATTCCACAAACAACTGAAATCATATGGTAATTTGTCTTTCTCTGCCCGATTGATTCTTGACGTGTCTCTATGATGGTATTGTTGCTGTGATAGGTTCGTGGTGACTGCACTGAGGGAGCCGACGTGAAGTAAGACAGTTCCTAACTGTGTCAGCACTGACCTCTACCAGATAAAAGTCAAGTGCTAAGAGCATAACACAAGGCATTTAGCATCACTTGGAAGCATACAAACGTGATAGTCACATATTTTTACGAGGTAGCTTTACAATCTTTGGTTTAGTTCATACTTCAGTTTGCATCAATCCCTGTTTTGCTGTAACTTATCTTTCTGTAAACATGATAGGGCTGCCAAACAGATTTTGATAAGGGTGATATTTGAATTTTTAATATGATTTTAAGAAACTTTATTTAAAAGTTAAGTCTAAAATAACAAATCTTCTGCATCCTTTGCCCACCCAAATACCCCTCTGGTGGTACAGTATAGTGTAATAAAAAGAACAAGGACTTCAGAGACAGACGATCTGGAGTCAAATCCTCCTTCCAACGTTTATTTACATCACAGCTTTGAGAAAATGTCTTAATCTTGTTGTGCCTTGACTATGAATTATACCCTGTAGATGCCTGTGAATGCTAAATTCCTGTGCCTGAGATAAAATGTAGAATTCAGTCACTCATAGATGACAGCTGTACCCTCACACGGGGAACAAGCACATATACCAGCTTTCTTTCGTGGGAGAGAAAAGTGGGGGAAGAGCAAGGCAGATTCTTCAGCCACTCCTCCCGTATTGTACCATCGAGCAGCTACATAGCACCTCCCTAGAAGCAGAGCCCAGGAGGATTTTTGTGCCAACGATTTGCTGAGGGAGAGCTCTCAGGAGCAGCCTGTAAGGACGGGGCTGGGAGAAGAAGGTCTGACATAGACCATAAGGAAAGGGAAACCCTAAAATGTTAAATCACAAAGCTGGCAAGTTGTGGAGCGCCAGTCAGAGCCCAGGTTTTGCATTGCCCTTTACCCCACCACTGCTGTTTCCGAGAGCAGCTGTGAAGTGGGTAAAGATCAATTAAAGTCTTTGTTTTCTAGAAGGGCAGGTTGTAACCAAATCAAATGTCGAGTGTCACTAGTCAATAAAGTACTGTTAATATGGGTTGTATGTTGGAATTTAAACTCAAAGCATAAGAAATGTCACCTGGGACCAAACTGATGGTTGTGTCTCAGGACCCATTTCTTGCAGTGACACCAGGCGGTGGGGGTGAGGGTCATATGACGCCAATGCAGCGGTTACGGACAGCCCTGTAAGGTCCCTTGTTGTCCACACTTGTTTTTTATTTATCCTGTTGCTTCTTTGTAATCGCATCATACTTTTTCCCTGATTCAGTGGTAATTGAAAATCCCCTGATCCAAAGAAAGGAATTAGAAAGAGAAGAAAAATTCAGCCCTGAAACTCCTAGGTAAATATCTATTTAGTGCAGAGATTACCAATCTTTGTGCTAGAATGATCATTATTAAATTAATTATTAAATTAAATTTAAAATATGCTTAGTTTTGTGTCAGATTAGCAGAGAGCTTACCGCTCTCTATGTAAGATCTTTCTAATAGAATACTTAACCTGGAAGTATTCTATTAGAAAATCATTGTCTCTTTAAGCTTGTCTCTTAAAGGTGTGTACTTCAGTTTGAAAATTAGGGGTTTATTTCTTCCTCATAATATTTATCATATTTCCCTAATAATTTATGTTGACATAGGATCACATGAAAAGATGGCTTTGTTTTTAATACTTTTATTATTTTCATTCTTAGCTTTACAGATATTTGGCTCTAGTCACATTAAAGCTGAACAATGAGAAGAAAAGAAATTTTGGAAGGGGTGTATATATATAAATATATATTTCATACCAAGGTGTAACTCTGCTCACACCCTCACTATCTTAGTTCAGGCTCCCTAGAAGCAGAGCCCAGGAGGATTTTTGTGCCAGTGATGTGCTGAGGGAGAGCTCTCAGGAGCAGCCTGTAAGGATGGGGCTGGGAGAAGCTTAGCAAAGACCCAGGAGGGAGCTCTGGGGCCTGAGTGGCCCCTCAGAGCGGCAGCCTGGAAGGAGTGTCACCTCCTCGCACCGCCCCTTTCTATTCGGTGGTGGTAGCGCTTGCTGTCCATCCCTAGGCCCATGCCCTGCGCTGTCACCACTGTGACCGTGACAGCCATCGCTCTCTGAGACAGTCTGGCTAGTTGTTTTCATCTGTCTCCCTCTCACGCCTGTGCCTCTGCCAAATCAAGAGCTGCCTGTCTTCCCCACTGCATCTCTGGGCCCAGACTCAGGTCTGGCTCCTGATAGGCTCTCAGTAAATGTTTGTGTGATGGGTGGAGGGAGGGAGGGAAGGGCATTTGTGGCAGATGGAACAAACACGAAACCTCCTAGCCTTTTCCAGAACAGTTAGTAATAGGTTGAACCATATGAAACTGCTGACGTTGACTGTTTTTCATCTTAAAATGTCAATTTCATAGCCTCCTAGTGTGCTATGGCTGGAGTACAGGGCCAGGGCAGGAGAGGAACAGAAGCTTGAGAGAGAAGCAGATACTTGGCAGACAGCTTTGCCTGTTGCACCTACTTCATTGTTCAGTGAGGGCTAGTCCAGAAGGGCTTCAAGCTGGGAAATAATACATTCATATTTGTGGTTTAGGAAGATCCCTTTGCCAGCTGAGGAGGGTGGACCTTAGGGGAATGAAGCTTAGGAGACAAAGCAATAGTTGGGGTGAGAAGTGATGAGTTAAACACTTAAAGCAGCAGCAGGGGAAGGAGGGGCGGAGGCCCAGACTAGAGGCCTGGGGAGTCTCTATGGAGGGGACTTGGGAGTTGGTCAGCTGGACAGGAAGCAGTGCCTCAGTTCGTGTGGAGTGTGTACATGTGGTGCATCTACCCCTCTAGAGCGCCAAGAAGTGAAACATAGTCCTCGCTCGGAAGTACACAGGCAGTGGGCGTCAGCGGGCTCCGGGCGACGAGCCCCGACTATCCCCCGCTTTACTGAAGCTCAGAGTCTCGGCCAGGCTGGCCAGCTGTCGTCAGCACGCTTAGAACTCGGCACAAATTGGTCCTCAAATATTTCCTTAATGAAAATACATTTTGAGCAAAAAATGTTACCCTTTCCAACATTTCTATGAGTGAAAAGTATAAATTTTATTATTAGAGTCTAAATTGCAGCCAAAAAATAATTTAACTGCAAACCTGAAAGTATTCTATTAGAAAACTATTTGATATTAACTTTTTTTGTGTGTTTTTGGAATTTAGTGACTATAAGCTGCTGCTCAGTGAGAATCACTCAATAGTAAAACTTTGCTCCAGTTATGAAGTGGATACCAAGTTGCTTTCTTTGATACATTTACCTGTTAAAGAGTCTCGTGACTATTATTCATTGGGTGACATTGTTGCAAATGAACACGGTCTGGATGGGAGAATTATTAATGTGCTTGCAGCTGTGAAGTTGGTAAGTTAAAATCTCAACAAAGCTAAGCTCACTTTGGTGGGGGACATTTGATCACTTGGTTTGTGTTTGGAAAGTAGTAACCAGTTGGACTGAATTTTCCTCTGTCTCTTGGCCTGTAGTCAGCTGAATTAAGAAAATGGTACTATTTCTCATTTAAGGGAAAGTAGCATTTTATCTGTAATGATAGACAAAATAAAATCATACCTGAATGTTAAATGCAGTGCTTACTCATAAAGATCCACTAACTATATGAAAGCCTTTCATACTTCAGTTAAACAAAAATACAGGGGGAAAGGGTAAACTCATTGAAGATCTCCATGGAGTTCACTGAAGATGTGCAAATTGAATAGACCAAGGAATGAATGCTTGTGGGCCCTCAGAGCTGTCCTTGCTGGTGGTGTGGGGAGAATCCCTAGTGTAGCATGCAGGGCCCGCGGGCCGGTAGCAGGGAAGGCAGGCCCCCGCTCCGGGGCACCAGGTGCGTTTCACCTCCCGGTGCATCAGCATCCCCCTCACTTACTTACTGACAGTGCCTTTGAGCTCCACAGGGGGCAGACTAGAGCCGCTTGCCAGGGACTTGGAGGTGGACCTCAAGGGCAAAGTGTCACAAAATAAATCACATGAAGGAAGTTAAAGGGGCAAGACTGATTTCTCATTATATGGAATGATGATAGAAGATAAAAAATAGGGAATAGACTTAGGTACTTGTAATTCATGTTGAAGTAGCTATAATTCCTTTTCTATGTTACATGACTGCCTGAGACTATCCACTCTCCCCGATGTCAGGCTCCTGGTGGCAGCAGCCATGTCTGCTTTGCTCAGCACCTAGCCCCAGCCTGGCACAGTGCTTGCCCTGTGGGCACTCAGTGTAGTGCCGCATGGAGGAATAAACACTCCAGGACAATCCCGAAAAGTAGGAGAAATCAGTCTAGGTTCAATTTCAAAGGCAGGATATGATCTCTCAATTTTCCCACGATTCTGTGACCCTTTATATTATAGTGTCATTAAGTTTCCTAAACTCAGCACGAATATAAGCAAACACCTGCAACAGCTTTTTCTATGCTCTCCCCAAGACCCTGGCACCCTCTCCGAGTAAAATGACATTACTTCCTTTTTTCATGCCTTTCTTCCCGATTTGCTTCCATTGCTCTTATGTTTCCTTGATTCACATTTTTATCTGACCTGTCCTCTCTTCCTTCTCACCCCCGCTCAGGTCTCTGCACTTTAGAACTACTCTTCCTACAGGCTCTGTGTGCCATGGTGTGGCGGGCCTCTCACACTCTGGCTGTCCTTGCCTGCAGCTTCCCCCCAGATCCTGCTCTCTTGCTGACAGACGGGGGGCTTTCTTCAGGTCCTTCCCACAGAGCCCAGCTCGGCCCGTAGATGCTGTGGTGACAGTGGCACAGGGCAGCTAGCTGACCGTCCGTGTGTGGGCCATTGCTAGGCGGTTGCTATAAGTGCCTGCTGCTCCGTGTGAGCTCCCAGGGTGGGGCAGCAGGGCTCTGAGTTCACCTCTGCCCCCCCGATCCTCTTACCACGGTGTGGATCATATCACACAGTATGTCAGCGTGCTGCCCTTACAGCCCTCACTTGGCTGTCACCACCTGACCCCTGTGAAGGCGACCAGGGAGGTACTGATGCCCAGACCTGTGCCAGCAAGATGAGGAGCCTGTGGCCCAGGGAGATTCGAGTTCATCCGGTCCCAGGCACTCCACGCTGGCCCTGTGCTGAGCTGCGGTGATACACAGCTGTTGAAAATATGCTTTCTCACTGAGTCCACACAGATGCCACCCAGGGTCTTGCCATGGAACATTTTTCTGACAAGATCCCACAGCCTTAACTTAAAGCACACCTATCTGTGTCTCTCTTCAAATTGCATAACTTACAACTTCAGCTGATATACCTAGTTTAGAGAGAGAAGATATGTGTAAATCATCAATTTGATATTGGTGATTCTTGCTATTTTGATATTTCTAATTTGTTGTTTAAAAGGTAAACATTTATGTATTTCTATCAACAAATATTTAAGTACCTCTACAACTATAGGCAAAAAATAATGATTTCCTTCAATTTCTAAGATTGGAGAGCCAAAATACTTTACAACTTCAGACCGAAGAAAAGGCCAGAGGTGTGAAGTTAAACTCTACGATGAGACGGAGTCCTCCTTTGCGATGATATGGTAACCTCGCACATCTGCTCCAGACTGTGAGATCCCTTCTCTTGTCATGGACGCAGAACATTTTGTTTTACCAGGAAGATGGTAGATTTCATATCAAGAAAGGAGTAGCAATAGGAGAGAAATGATACTTTACATCTTGCTTCTCATGTTGAGTTGTTTCAGTCTGTGCTGTAAGATTGCCTTACAATGAGACCTTTAGACAGCATAGGATTGCCTAGACGGGCTGCACTGCCGCCGGGTTATTGCTGTACTCGGTTTTATAACACATGGCAACTTACTAGGTCCCACTGGTGAGGACCAAGCCAGCACTTGTGTGGCTCCTTGGGTATTACTCTGAAGCTGGGCCACAGGGGATGGCAGAAAAGCAAGGGTTGTCACAGGCTGGGTTCCATGGGGCACCTGGTGGGTTGGACATGGGGTGGGGCTACGCGCTGAAGCACCACAGGGCACAGTAGGGTATTGTGTAGGCTGCAGATGCCTACGTACCAAAGACAGCACTGAATCTGAACCAGGCCTTTCCTCCAAGTCCCTCGAGCAGCTCATCCATTGTGGGGGCCTCTCTGTGGTCTGGGAGTCTAGAGACTTGCAGTCACTCAGTTGTAACTAGCCTGCAGTGACCAGAGTGATGAGCAAAGAAAGAGGCAGGAGCAGAAGTTGTGAGACGAATGGTGCTGGAGGAATGGCTCATCGTGTAGGTAGGTGCTGGGTGCTCGCGAGACAGACAGTGTAGCCTGCAAAACGCAGGAGCGGCCAACATCCTGAACCTGCGCCTTTGAGCACTCGGGATCGTTAACTCCAGACATTAAGACAGTCTTTTTTAGGTAAATAATGTGGTCACTGCTACTTTTTTCTCAGTTTCTCTAACTTCTTTTTAAAATATGCAGTTGGGATAATGAATCCATCCTACTTGCACAGAGCTGGATGCCACGAGAAACAGGTATCATAGTTCAATGATTGTGTTCAATATCTGTCATTTCTTATCCCGCCATGTAATAATTTTGAAATATTTTTTTCCCCAAACAGTAATATTTGCCTCAGATGTAAGAATAAGCTTTGACAAATTTCGGAACTGCATGACAGCAACTGTAATCTCAAAAACCATTATCACAACTAATCCAGGTAAAAAGCTATCTGAAATTTTGTATACCTTTGGAAATGACTATCATATATTCCAATAGTGGTGCAGTGTATTTAAGAAGGAAAACAAAGCTTGGAGTTCATTTGAATTAAAAATTTTAAATTGCTTTATATGACTTTCAAACACAATGAACTATGTCTTTGACATCTTTACTGAAGAAATGTGAAACACCAGACTCATTTTTAAAGCATTATCCCCTGTGATGACTTTTATTTTTCATTTTAATATCATTAATCTACAATTACATGAAGAACATTATGGTTACTAGACTTCCCCCTTCACTAAGTCCCCCCCACAAACCCCATTACAGTCACTGTCCATCTGCGTAGTAAGATGCTATAAAATCACTACTTGTCTTCTCTGTGTTGCGCAGCCCTCCCCATGCCCCCCCCACATTATACATGCTAATCGTAAGGCCCCCTTTCTTTTTCCCTGCCCTTATCCCTCCCTTCCCTCCCATCCTACCCAGTCCCTTTCCCTTTGGTAACTGTTAGTCCATTCTTGGGTTCTGTGATTCTGCTGCTGTTTTGTTCCTTCAGTTTTTCTTTGTTCTTACACTCCACATATGAGCGAAATCAGTTGGTACTTGTCTTTTTCCGCCTGGCTTATTTCACTGAGCATAATACCCTCTAGCTCCATCCACGTTGTTGCAAATGGTGGGATTTGTTTTCTTCTTACGGCTGAATGATACTCCATTGTGTATATGTACCACCTCTTCTTTATCCATTCATCTACTGATGGACACTTAGGTTGCTTCCATTTCTTGGCTATTGTAAATAGTGCAGCAATAAACATAGGGGTGCATCTGTCTTTTTCAAACTGGGCTGCTGCATTCTTAGGGTAAATTCCTAGAAGTGGAATTCCTGGGTCAAATGGTGTTTCTATTTTGAGCATTTTGAGGAACCTCCATACTGCTTTCCACAATGGTTGAACTAATTTACATTCCCACCAGCAGTGTAGGAGGGTTCCCCTTTCTCCACAGCCTTGCCAACATTTGTTGTTCGTCTTTTGGATGGTGGCCATCCTGACTGGTGTGAGGTGATACCTCATTGTGGGTTTAATTTGCATTTCTCTCATGACAAGTGATGTGGAGCATCTTTTCATGTGTCTGTTGGCATCTGAATTTCTTCTTTGGAGAAGTGTCTGTTCAGATCCTCTGCCCATTTTTTAGTTGGATTATTTGCTTTTTGTTTGTTGAGGTGTGTGAGCTCTTTATATATTTTGGATGTCAGCCCTTTATCGGATCTGTCATTTATGAATATATTCTTCCATTCTGTAGGATGCCTTTTTGTTCTATTGATGGTGTCCTTTGCTGTACAGAAGCTTTTCAGCTTGATATAGTCCCACTTGTTCATTTTTGCTTTTGTTTCCCTTGCCCGGGGAGGTATGTTCATGAAGAAGTCGCTCAAGTTTATGTCCAAGAGATTTTTGCCTATGTTTTTTTCTAAGAGTTTTATGGTTTCATGACTTACATTCAGGTCTTTGATCCATTTCAAATTTACTCTTGTGTACGGGGTTAGACAGTGATCCAGTTTCATTCTCTTGCATGTAGCTGTCCAGGTTTGCCAGCACCATCTGTTGAAGAGGCTGTCATTTCCCCATTGTATGTCCATGGCTCCTTTACCATATATTAATTGACCATATATGTTTGGGCCCTGTGACGATTTTTGAGAGATCTATTCATTGGATACCTAAATATTCACTATTTAAAAAATAAATTGGGTTCCACTACATTCAAATGACTTAGTGCTGGAGCACTGACAACACACAGGTAGTGGTCAGTCCAGAGCTGTAAGTTAGATGCCCTGAAGTCCCGCTGGAGTGGTTGCTGAAAGGGGCTACAGCCTATTCCAGCATGAGACCTGGGGGGCCAGGATCTGAGGAGATGGGGGCTGGTGCCCTTAAGCATCCTGGGAGTGCCTTGTGGTGCAGATAGAACAATCAGCCCCACCTGCAGAAGAGGGTAGAAGGCTTGGAAATGGAATGATCCTTCACGATATCAGGAGGTTGAAAATATGTAATGTGTCACTTTAAACAAAGTTCACTCTGCTGGTCATTACCAAAGCATCAACAGTGAATGGGAATTCTAAAGCGATTTTATTATGTCTTTGACCAAATCATTAGCAGAATTTTTAGAACTAGAAGATGAGATGTAAAATCAAAAGACTGTTTTGCTCAACACTGGATCTTGCCGTCCACCCCGGGAATGTCCCCTGAAGGCAGCAGCGTGGGAGGCGATGCCCCTGACTCGCTCCTCACTGAGTGCTCGTCTGCGGGCCGTGCTGCGCGCCGGGCACTGTTCTGGCCCGGGGGGGGCCAGTGACGAGACGAGATTCCCTGCCCTCATGCAGCTCGCATTCTGGCTGCGGGGAGACAGATAAGCTGCCCGTGAACTATCAGTGTGTGAGATGAGAACGCGGAGCAGGGTGTGTGGGGCAGGTCCCGGCCAGAGGGTGGCCAGAGAGCCCTCCCGGGGGGGCGACATCTGAGCAGAGACGCGACGAGGCGGCGGGGGGCCGACCGCGGGACCGAGCACCAGGCAGAGGGAGCCGCCAGCGCGAAGGCCGCCGCGGAGAGGCCCCCGGCCGACGGGGAGCGAGGCGTGGCCGGAGCCGACCGAACACCAGCCTGCAGCAGGAGCGAGGCCAGCGGCGTGGTGCGGACCGCAAGGGCCCCACGCCCGGTGGGAGGGCTTTGGCTTCCACTCTGCAGGGCGGGATCGGGGTGGGGTTTAGAGCGGAGCGGGGCCATTACCCAAGTGCGAGTCGGTGGCGACCCAGCCACAGTCTCTTCTCAGCGCCGGGACGGAGTGCTGCTCTTCGATTCCTTTGTTTTTTTTGAGGGGTGTACTGTGGTTTATTATTTTTAATAATTTCTTAATGCTGATAGTTCATTATTTATTTTAATTAGTAACATCAGTGACAGAAAATCTCCATCCTTTTAGGGTAAATTTTGCTGGGAAAGTTTCTAAAAGACAGTTGGATTTGCCTGTTGGAAGTATCGTAAAACTTGACAGGATTGATTGCGTCCAAACCTCGAGTCTAAGTGAGACAGTCAGCCAGCGCTGTACGCCTGGCGCGCAGCAGTTCTGTCTGCAGTTCAGAGATGTTCCCCACCAACTCACAGATGACTATAACATGGCTTTTATTTGCCAAGTGCTAAGATGACGTAGGTCCTTTCTGGAACAAGGCAAGGCATGAGGGATTGGATGCTGGAAATATGGAGATGAAAAGGCAAAACCCTGGCTCACAAGGACGTGCAATGTAGTTCTGAGAGAAGAACAGGGACATGACTCCTGGTGGAACGGGAGCAAGGAGGGAGAGAGGCCTGACTGCCCAGGCGAGCCGGGGCCCCAGCGCCTTCAGGACCACCTGTGGAATGTTGCAGTGGCTGAGAGAGGGTGGGGCCCAGGGCTGAGGGCATCAGAGTCACATGAGAGCCCTTTCTCAGAATTCCATTCGCACACCATCTGACTATCTCAGAGTGCTCAGATCCCAAGTTGAGGAGGAAGCCTTTCAAGTTAACTTATCTTAAAAAATATTTTTTTTTTGTCCAGAATAATCAAATCCATAGAGATTAATGGTTTCCAGAGGCTGAAGGGGGTGAAAGGATTGGGGGTGACAGCTAAGGAGTGCAGGGTCTCTTCTGAGAGTAATGATATTCTAAAATTGTTCTAAAGTTGACTGTGGTGATGGTTGCACAACTCTGTGACTGTACATAAGGCAATAAATCATACACTACAGATGTGTAAATTGGATGGTATGTGAATTATATCTCAATAAAGCTCTATTTAAAAAATATATATATATTTTCTGATTAGAAAAGAAATATATAAAAATTCAGAAAATACATAAAAGCATAAAAAGGATCACCTAAATTCTCAATCTTATACAAGATAATATTTTTCTAACATTTAATACTATTTCTTTGATATATATTCTTCCAGATAATTTTGCATATATATACATATTTTTTTAATTAGAAGAACATTGTACCACCTAGTTTTGTAAGCTGCTTTTTGCACTTACATCTGGTATCATCTCCCCATGTCGATAGAATGCTACACCACATTGTTAATGGTTGCAGAACATTCTATTTGATTGTATCCTTATATGTGTTCAGTTTTTTACCATTACCAAAATAATTTTGGTTCATTCACAATTACTTAAAAGGTCATCAGATTGTCTTTTACTTATATATTTTCAATTTAAGATACACCAGAAGCTAACATCCTATTGAATTTCATAAGAGAAAATAAAGAAGCAAATCCTCTGGATGATGAAATTGATAGTTATTTGAAAGAATCCATCAATTGTAAGTGATCTTTAAATGTTATTTGAATTTTTAAAAGGCCAAAATTTGGGCCTGTAAAGTTTTGTTTTACATAGTAAAAGGTGCCATATTCTTATTCTGTAACTGCTTTTACAGAATTTCCAACTTTTTCAAAGGTAGTTTAAAACTTGTAGAGGTTCCTGTAACTTCTGGCAATCTGATGAGAGCTAAAAAATTGAGCTGACTCTTTTTCTTATTGATTTTTAAGACTTCTTTAGAAATTCTGGATATGAGTCCTTCGTCTCTGTTACAGATGCTTGCCTTTCCACCCTTTCAGTGGCATCTTCTAATGACCAGAAATTCTTCATCTTAATGAAGACTAATTTCTCATTCTTTTTGTTTTTTTTTTTGCTTTTATGTCCATTTGTATAATCACTTTCACTATAGCAAATATAATCTTTGTTAACTGAAGTTACCACATACTCTCATTTGAACTTTGTAACTTTTATATTTATATATAATCCTTTGGCGCTCTTAGGCTGTATGGAGAGCTGTAATAACTTATTTTCATTTTCAGTAAATACAATAGTTGATGTCTATACAGTTGAACAATTAAAGGGAAAAGCTTTGAAGAATGAAGGAAAAGCTGACCCTTTCTACGGCATCCTCTATGCTCACATTTCTGCACTGAACATTGATGGTGAACCTGCAAGAGTTGTTCGAAATAGATGGTAAGCAGCCAAATTACTTTTAGCAAATTAATTCTTATAAGAAATAAAAACCAACTATGGTTAATAAGTTTTAAGCTCTATAAAAGTTAAAGCCATTCTTTGACATAAAAGTGGTTATGTATTTGAGAGAAATATAGAAATAAAAGGTCCATATTGACATTTCCATGGCAAACTATTTAGATTCAAAGACTATAATTTCCTTTTAATGTAAAATTTAATTTACTGTGTTTCTGCAACCCTACTAATACAAAGATGTACTACTGCCAGAAACTTTTAACTGATATGGCAAACTGTTGTTTTATAATGTATCAGAAAATTATTTTGGTTATCACATCCTATAGCAGTGCAAGGGACAGCATTTAAAAATTTTCAAATTGCTTGGTGAATATGATTTCCAACCTCTCCTGTCAAAGTTAATACCTACTTGCATAGAAGGAAACCCCAGTAGATTTAGTAATCTTAGCCAAAGGATGCTTGGCAAGAAACACATAAAATGTTATTATGAAAGTCTCAGTTTGGATTTTTGTAACTGAAATTTTTATTGCAATAGTTCTAGATACACATGGAGTTGTAAGAAATAACACAGAGCCCACGCACACTTTGTCTGGTTTCCCCCAATGGCAACATTGCAAAATGGTAATATCACATCACATAGGCAAATTATTGACATGAGTTCAATCTACTGCTTTTATTAGAATTTCCCCGGATTGACACACAGTCTTCTGTGTGTGTATTAAGTCTATATAGTTTCATCACATGTGTAGGTTTGTATATATATCACCACAGTCAAGATCCTGACCTATGGATTTTTAAAACATTTATGACTTGGTAATAAAGTTGAAAAAACTAACTTGGAGGATGCTGTGTAAGGCAAAAATAAACATAAATTTTTTTTTCAAAAATATTTCTCTAAAGTTAAAAAAAATTTACTGTCTCCCTCATTTTTCTTACATCTCTAATATCAATATTTGAGGAAAAGCACCTAAAATTTACTTTAAAAGTGACCTGTGTTTAGATAGGAAACACTATCGTCAGATTATTCCTCTACTTGAGAAATTTGAATTAGTCTCCCTAAAGTGGCAAAAGTAAGGCCAACTTCAAAAATGTGGAATAGCATGTAATTGTCGCTGAAGAGAGAAGAGCATTGTCGGTGTGAACCTGACCAGCCCTGTGGTTTTCCAGTACATGCACAGAAGACCTAGTACAGGACCATAACTGAACGCTCATCTGACCCAGGCTGTCTAGGCACAAAACTAGACACAGAACTGCCTGCCCTTAGAGCAGCAGGCCAGGGAGATAAGGTGGACTTACCTGCAATGACACGAAATAGGAGGTGACCAGATAGGGTGAGTGCTGACATGTAACGTCTGCAGCTGTTAGCAGAGGGGAGGATGCGGGGAAGGAAGGCCTCAGCAGGGAAAGGCCTGGCAGGAGGCAGGGCGGGGAGGACTGACCCCAGGGCCAGGTGGGCCAGGAGAGCTGAAGAGGAACTGCGACTTCTCTTCGGACTTTCTGTCTTGCATCCTGCACAGCGTGAGCATGCAGAGACTGCAAACTCTCACTAGACTCTGAAGTGCACAGTCTTCAAGAGATCGGATGTGTTGCCTAGGGCCTCGCATTTTATCACTGATTTTCTTTTCAGTTCAGGCTGCGGTTACACTATAAATGAAGCTTCCAGCCCTTGTACAGCTTGCAACAAAGATTCTCTGCGTCTTAAGCCCGTCCTTCCCAGCTTGGATATGCTAATTGATGTCTCTGACCACACGGGCACCCTCCACTCCTGCAGTCTGGCAGGAGGCGTCGCTGAGGAGACTTTGGGCTACTCGGTAAATAGCGCAAAGGAAAACATGTTTAGAAGTATTTCCAAACTGATCTCTCTTCCCTAAAAATACAGGTTTTGGTGAAAATTTGATAGAAATTAATACATTTGTAAAAAGGTCTCGGGAAAATCAGTCTTGGTTTAAACACATTGCTTTAATGAACAGATAATTACATGTTGTATATCCAAGTCACAACTAATATTAACTATCAGAAGTAAGGACAGAGGCCCATGGCCACTGTGGAGAACAGACAAAATGCTATGTAGTCAGGTAGCGGTGGGTAAGAGGACACATGAGGGTGATGAGGTGGCTCTCCCAGGGGAGGGTGCGGTGATGCTGCACTGGCCTAGCCGCAGGAAGTCAGTGGCCAGCTTCCCCACCACCCGCTGCCACAGGACTGCCGCAGAGGCCTAGGTGAGCTCGTGCACCTGGGCATAGGCATGCGCTCCCCTGAAGTTTACTGTTACACCTCAGTTTCAGGTGGCTTCCAAGTGTGTTCCAGGGACTCTCCTGTCCTGAGCCACATGGTCAGCTTTGAGATTCAGTTTAGAGCCTTTCTGTCCTTATTTCCTCTGTCAAGAGGATTGAGCTGTAGTAACAGAATAAAATTCTATTTCTAGTGATGAGATTGAAGTTTCATGTTGTTGTCAAGATAGTTATTTATATATACTTTGGAAATACTTGTTTGATTTTTTTTTTAACCAGGTAAATGAGTTTCTTGCAATGACTGGCGAACAGAGAACAGCATTAAAGTGGCAATTCCTTTTGGAAAGGAGCAAAATTTACTTAAAAGTTAGTGTATTTTATAGTACTATGCTATTCTATATGTTCAAACAATAAGAAAGTCCTAGAGTGTGGCCTAACAAATTGAGGGATTGGTTATTTTTAATAATAAGATAATAATGCCCCATTCCTGGGCATGCAGAAGGACTCGGCTCCCACAGACACAGTAGGAGTAGTCAGGGTTTTGCATATAGTATAAAGGAGTTACAGATGACAACAAAGAAATGTAGACCAGCAAAGAAATCAATCCACTGATGTGAATTCCAAGGCAGCACACTGGGCTTTAGAGTCACAGCTGTGGCCCGCGGCCCTGCCATGTGGCGGAGCTCCTCACTTAGGTGGGCAGTATAAGATAGCATAGCTGAATGCTGAGATGCTGGGGTACACAGACTTGGGTTCGAATCCCCGTTCGACCACCCCTCAGTTTATGTGGCCCTTCGGAGGTTATGTATGACCCCTCTAAGCCTCTAAATGCTGTGACCCTACAACTCCGCTCAGAGCAGACTCCTGTAGCACTAGCGACTCTTCAATGCTGGAGCATCATCAATCTAGTGTTGAAGGTGCAAAAGGGGGAGTGGGACAGATTCCCTTGGTTTTTGCAAATGAGGAAAATGGGACCAAGAAATGTCACCACTTGCCCCAGGTCACAGGTGAGACGGGGCTGCACCCTACATTATTTCTCTCCTTCTATCTCGCAAATGTTTTCTCTGTTACACTCTTAAAAGTCTTCAAGCTCTTGTTTAAGTTGTCATTCTATCTGTTGACATTTACTGTACTAGAACTTAACAGTGAGAAGAATTTTAAAACACTCATAAGCACATGTTTCATCAGTAGTCCTCAATAGTATCATCTTCGGTCACATAGCCTCTAGAGAATTACAGGTCATTCTGGTGAAAAAATGCGAGCAAAGGTGGGAAACAGCATCTTAGTGTTACTATGCAAACAGTTTTGATCTCATGGATACCCTGGAAGGGTCTCTGAGAACAATGGCTCTATTCCATCTCAGCCTCATAAGCAGGTTTTCCCATTTTCCAGTAGTTTCCTTCCTTCTGGCCTCAAGCATGGCTGAATAGGTTGCAGACACGAAGTCCCCAGTGGCCTCACCAGTATTTCTAGGACTTTGGTTTGAGGCCTCTTCATTACTAGGCCGAAGGGGGAAAATCACAGAAATATACTACATCTCTTCCACCATTAACATGGGTTTACCTTCATACTGTCTTTTCCCAAATCAGAGTACATAGCTGACCCTTGAACAGTGTGAGAGTTAGGGGTGCTGACCCCCTGCACAGCTGAAAAGCCCTGTTTAAGTGTTGACTCCTCCCAAACCTTAACTACTAAGAGGCTACTGCTGATGGGAAACATAGCCGATTAACACATATTTTGTATGTTATTTGTACTATAGATGTATTTTTTTTTTATAAAGTAAGCCAGAGAAAAGAAAATACTTTTTTTTCAAATTGTTGCAAATCTCCAAAAATTTTTCCAATCTATTTATTGAGAAAAATCCAGGCATTAGCAGACCTTCCCAGTTCAATCCTGTGTTGTTCAAAGGTCAGCTGTACTCAGATCCTTGACCAACTTTGTTTTCCCTCCAAACAGAAGATTCAAGTTGATAATGAGTTTGATCAGTTTAAATTCACAGCAACTTATAGTTTCCCAGATTGATCAAATATAACAACAAATTACTCTCCAGTAAAGGGACATGGTACCTTTCCACAGAGTACATTAAAAAGGTATTGAAGGTAGATTTCACAAAGATTTTAAGCAGATATAAAAATTTTAACACAAAATGTAGTAAACATCATGAGAATAAAATACAGTTTCAATTGTTATAAATCAATTGAAACAGAACATGTAATTTTAAAAATAACAACTTATACTGCTCTGCTAAAAACAAAGTATTCCTATATATTTTGGACATTTTATGTATTTATCACATTTCAATTAAAAACAGTGGGCCAGCTGGAGGGATTTCAAAGTGAGGTATTCATTTTAATGTTGTAAAACACATGGTGATATTAGTTCAAGTCCCTTACAATCTGACATTAGTGTAAAAGAGATTTCCAAGTAGCAAAAACCTATGACTCACATAAAAAGAAGTGAACACATCAGAATTTAACTCATTAATTAATGAAGGAACCAGTAAGATGTCTTTTTAAAAACAGGCTGAAAGGAGAATTAGAAGAATAAACACAGAGGCAGACAGGATGCTGGCATGAGTTTCTTACAGATGCAAAACTGGTGTGTCCCCCAGGCAGAGTGCCCTGCATGTCACCCAGACAGAGCCCCTCAGGCTTGTGTGAGGGGATCCTTGGTATCATTGCCTGCTCTTGACACCCTGCAGTCCACAGAGGCTCGGCTAGCACAGTGGAAGGTGCAGAGCCGTGCAGTCAGGCAAGTTGGAAGGTGTTCCGGCCACCACCACACCCAAGGGGCAGCGTGCCACTGAGGGGATGCATGCTGCTTGTCCTGACTGCCCACGTCAGAGCCCTTCACAGGGTTTTCCTATTAGTCGTTGAAGTTGAAATGGCTGGCAGATGTGTCCTTCCACTGTAAATAAAATGTTGGTGAGAGTGTTTCTGTTATCTGTGAAAGGTAAGGCACCATTATTAGTAAACTTCCTCACCACATCCTTGTAGTCTGACAGATCACGTACTGCTGCAGGTTAATGGCTATCGCAACTGGTAGTGTGAACACACTTAAACCCCTTTTTTTTTGTATATGTTGGATTTGAATCCCGACTTTCCTACCTGAGAGGAATGTAATGAAGAAAGGATACAGATTTTTACAAAACCACCATCAGAAGCCAGATCTGTAATCTCTCCTCTGAACTCTGGCTGATGCGGAAAGCCTGTTGTGTTGCCTTGCAGCTTTAATTGACGTCTATGCTGCTGTGAATGAATAAACACGGCATTCTCTGTGGTTTTGCTTTCAGCTTTACATACAAGGTGAGCTTGAGAAGTAACTCTTTCTCTCTTTTTCTCTTGACAGATTTTTTTATCACCCAGAGCACGGGGTGGGTTGAGAATTAGCGTACTCTCCTGTAAGCTCGCGGATCCTATTGAAGCAAGTAGGAGCTTGTCTGCACAAGGACATGTTTAAAACCATTAAACTCTGGAAAAGTGTATGAGTTCTAACTCCCTTTAAAGTGGGAAATGAGTTTGAAAATTATGGATAAAATTGGTTTTTGTTCAAATGTGGTAAAAATGTTTCTCTAAGTTGTTTCCTCCTGGAGTTGGTTTGGGCCTAAGCCTTAAAATCTCTCTCACCCAAACTCACATCTTGGCTTTTTCTACCAGCTTTCCCTTCCCAAGCTGGAAAATGCATGCATGAATTGAAAAACAGATTTAATCTTTCCCACCACTATGGACAATTTCTTTTCTTAAGCCCCTTTCCTCTCTGTCATGTTTCTCTGAGAAGGATCAGAACCTCTGAAAATGAGGTCCCCCACCCTTGGCAATGGCTCAGCTGCTTCCCTGGAGCTGACAGGGCAGGAATGGGGCCCTCCTGGCGCCGGGCGGGTTGCAGGAGAGCGTGGGCGCCGCTGCGCTGCTGCTTTGAAGCTTTTCTAGGCTCTACGTTCTCTGATGGCACACAGGCTGCCCAGTGCTTGGGAAGGTGGCTGACTCAGGGCAGGCATTTATGAGTCTGAGTCACCTGGGAGGAGACTGCCCACCGAAGTCAGAGCGCCCAAGCCTCAGGCCCTTGGAGGACAGAGACCTGCTCTGACCAACACACGGGCCCCCTCCAGCCTCCTCCACCACCAAGCGCTTAGCTCAGCCCCACCCCATCCTGGGTTACTTGTGCAGGGCAAGGTCAGCGGTGACCACAGTCAACATATGTGGGAGACTTGGCACTTCGGAAGGCTGTTTCACCCATCACAGGAGTGAAAAAAAGAAAAGAAAAAGTGAGTATCTGAAACTTTTATACAGTTGGTGTTGGAGATGAACTTACATTGTCAGTAATGTTTTCTCTGGCTTTAGCACAGGCAGGCCTGGAGGAGAAACGCGACCCTAGTGTGCCCAAACTGTGGGTATAAGCCAAGTAACGAGGGACATGACCTAGTTCTGCAAATAGCAAGTGTGCCCAGTGAAGGGCTTCCTTCCCCCGACCTTGGGGAGAGGAGTGGGTGTGTTAAGCAAGGTGAATTGGGAGGGTGGACAGGGAAGGAAGGAGAATGGTGGAGGGACAAGGACAGTGCCCTTCCCACTGGGCACGGGAAGGGGTCCGGCTGGGGAGGGGAGAGGAGACAGTGCCCACCTGCCAGCCACATTCACACCCTGCTGGCTAAGCAAGAGTGGGTGTCTAAGGGTGCAGGAGACAAGGAAGGACCTTAGCCTAGATGGTGTGTCAGGAGCCGCTGTGCCGGGCCTCCCAGTGCCCTGACGCTTGGGCCAAAGATGCCAGACCAGCTGTCTGAGCCCCCGTAGTTTATGGGCCTCAGCTGCATCGGCTGTGTTACCACTGACTTCCCCAGCAGAGTCCGGGGGCCCAGTGCAGGCATCCTTGAGGTAAGCACAGACTCGGTACCCAGTGTCCCCAACAGCCTGTGGAGCCCTAGCAGGGTGGCAGGGGGCTCTGAATGACCTCACTGCTCCCTTGGTGACCTCTCAGTCTGCCAGCACTTACCTAAGGAGACCTCACGTCCTAGAGGGACACCCCGTTGCTTATTTCATCTGATGACATGGGAAACTACAGAGCCAGGGGTCAGGCCACCCCGAGTCAAAGGTGCTTCACCAAGTTTAACTTACACATTTACGAAATGAAGATTACAATTGGTCGATATCTAGAACTTGGTTGTAGATTAGCCAGAATTGCACACACTCAAAGAAGTAAAATAAAGACGCATCATTACAAATTGCCAGCTCCCACCCCCCGCCCTCCCTGTCTGGGATCTCCATTTCCAGGGTCAGCAGGAGCTGCCCTCCTGCCCCAGTGGCTTTTGATCTACATGTAATATATTGCTTTATATAGTTTGGTGCCTACATGATTTTTCTCATATAGTGGTTTTCTTACTTAGTAGTTCATTTCAATATGACTTTTCTTTCCTAATTCTATTCTGGTGAGTTTATACATTTAATACTCTGCATGTGACAGAAACAGTAGATATTTGCCCATCTATTACTTACCTTTACCTTGAGGAACCCTGTGACTGCTTTTGCTTTTTAATTATTTTTTATTATAAAGTTCTATATGTTTATTACAGAAAAATTAGAAAATAATAGATATCCAAAAAAAGGGGAAAGCCCATAATCTCCCATACCAACATTTTTTAACTAGTAGGCAATATATTCTTGTATATATGCTTTTTTTCTTATTGTGGTAAAATATACATCACATAAAATTAACCATTTTAACCATTTTTTTTTTGAGAGGGCATCTCTCGTATTTATTGATCATGTGGTTGCCATTTTAACCATTCTTAAGTGTACAGTTGAGTGACATTACGTATATTCACAATGTTGTGCAACCATCACATTATCCATCTCCAGAGCTTTTTCATCATGCCAGCTTGAAACTCTGCCCCCGTAGACAGCTCCCCAGCCCCACCCCCCGCGGCCCCAGCGACCTCTGATCCACTTCGTCTCTGTGAGTCTGGCTCTTGCAGGTACGCCATGCAAGTGGAGTCGTGTGATATTTGTTCTTTTGCATCCACCTTATTTCTCCGAGCATGATGTTTTCAAGATCATTCATGCTATAGCATGTGTCAGAATCTCCTTCCTTTTTTCTGGCCGAGTAGGTCCACTGCATGCATGGGCTACATTTTATCCATTCATTTGCTGATGGACATTTGGGCTGTTTCCACCTATTGGGTGTTGTGATTAGCCAATCACAGCTGCTATGAACCTGTGTGCACAAGCATCCCACATTTTTGTATATGTCCTTCCTGACTATATCATCTATCCATCTTCCTATGTTAAGACATGTCATTTATAAAAATAGGTTACATTATAATCTGCTTTTACACTTAATAATTTATAATAAACTTTTTCACATCATTAAATATCCTACATAATTTTAATGGCTGCATATCATTTTATTGTATGAATATAGGATAGTGAATGTAATCAATTCAATACTGTTAGACCTTTAGGATGTTTCCCATCTTTCCTATTATAAATGACAACTTCATGTAAATTTTGGTCCACATACTTATTTCCTTAGGATAAGTTTCTAGACATTAAATTGCCGCAACAATACTAATAGCTAACATTATTGAGTGCTTTTTATGCCACATTGTAGTAAGCACTTTATGTGTAGTGTCCAATCCATGTGAGTACTGTAGTTAGCCCATTCCACAAATGGGACATGGAGGCCCTGCTAGGGAGGGAGAACTGGAGGTGGCTGCTCTGCAGGCTCTGTGGCTGCAGGCTCAACGCCATTTGCTCCTGGTCTCTGACTTAGAGCATCTCTGTTTGCAGTTATCCTTTCAAAATGTGGATGACCACATCAGCTTTTCTTGGCGACAGTGAAGACTGAGTAAGCTCACAGGGTAAAGGGTTTGGACTCATGCACCCTGTATATGATCAATAAGTACCAGTTATTGTTGTAGATGCTGAGCTACAGCAATTTCATTGGCACTATTTTTGCATGAATTCTGTTCTGCTTTTATAGTTTGAGTTTTTTATAGTACATCATTACACTTATTAATCTTCCCCTTTGAAATATATGAAGGGTTTAGCATATTTGAATTAATTGTATTGAAAAGAAACACACAACTTACCTGAAACCAAGGTACTACGCTAACATTTACACCACAGATGTGCCCAATAGTCTTGTTTTTAAAAAGAAAACTGAGTATAAACATAGGAATAGATACCAGCTAAACTCATAATCAGAGATGCAAATTAAATGACCATGATCATGACACCCAGCATCAGTCAGATCATGCACAGAAAGGTACTCTTCCACACTCAAGTACAAATTAATATATCCCTTTTCCTTGGCGACTTGGCAAAAAAGTATCAAGAATTTAAAGGGTAAGCTAGGTATCCAGTTTCACCTCTAGGACCTTCCCTAAGGAAATACACAAGCGCTGAATGATATTTGTGGAGGGTGTTCCTTAATTCATTCTAACAGCGTAACACTGGAGACCTGTGCAGCCTGTAGGAGAATGTCGGGCCCACTCTCACCCTTAGAACTTGCAGGTGCAGCCGATCCCTCAGCTTCCATGAGAGTCAGAGAATTACCTGGGAAGTTATAGGGTGGGTGGGAAGCACATTTTCCAATGACTTCCCCTTGGGATAGTCGGTGACCTGAAGCTCACCTCCAGCTTGGAGACCATACTCTTTCTCCTTCCTTTTCACTTCTTTTCTCCTGAGAGCACTCCTTCAGCACATCATCTGAACGAGAATCCTCCTCACCTTAGGCTCTGTCTGGAGAGTACATGATCTAAAGCACAGCCATTAAAAGAAAATGACAATGAAAATCTATTCACTGACCTATAACAATGTTCCTAGTATATTAGTGGTTGCACAATACTCATTTTTTGTAAAACCCCAATAAATGTTAAAAAAAAGTCCCGAAAAATAGATGTGAAGCCATACATTCTGTATTAACTAATATATCAAGGAATTATACTCGTAAGTGTGGTAACGATGGCGTTGGGAAATCCAACCCAGGTCTCCCTGCATGCTAGGTGAGACCTCAGCCTGGAAAAGTGTTCTTGGCTGTGATGGAGAACGAATTCACGAGCAGGTCCAGCATGTATGTAAAGCAAAGCACACACTCAAGGGGGTGGGGCTGTGCTGCAGAGGGGAGCGGCCCAGTGGGGGTGGGCGGGGTGGTCTCATAGTTGGGGGTTGGTTAAGCAGGGGGTGAAATATTCACCTGGATAGGTGGGGTTTTCTCAGAATGGGGAGAAGATTCCCAGGAGATAAGGTGACACTCTTTTTGTCCTTAGAGGGTCTGCCTCGGACTGCTGTGGTGCCCAGGAGTGTGATGTTTACTATGCTGAAGAGCATATAATGTATTTTGTGGTGAAATCAGGGTCAACCTCTCCTCCATGTTGGAACCAGCCAGCTTTGGCTAGTTTTTATCTATACCCTCACTTCCCACATCCAGAGAGAACCGTTTACACGGAATGTTTAGAACATAAACAAGCATCTAGCTGCATGTAAACACCAGCCAAAGTCCCCAACCCCCTCCTGCTCAGGTCTGGCTATGCACTTCTGTCACACTGGTACTGAGGCCCTCCAGGAGAATGTCTTTGCTCCTGGGAGATGCGTGCTGAAAGGGCAGTGTTTCTGCACCTCACCTCCAGCCTCTACAGTAAGTGTGCGTAGGCGTACACATGTGGAGAGAGAACCAACGGTGAATGTTAGCAATCACTGAATCCAGTGAAGGGTATATGGACTTGGCTGTATTTGTCTCTCAACTTGTTAGGAAGTTTAAATTCATTCAAAATAAAAAGTTTTGGGGGAAAAATGGGAGTGCTAGGATTACTGTGATTTTAGCCATATCAGGAACTATGGGAATTGGTGAGTCTGTGTTTTGTATTCTTGCAGCCAAGGACTTTGTGTGCTACACACACCCAGTGCCGTCATCACTTGCTTGTGACAAAGCTTGTGCTGCCCTCCTTTGCCTTCAGCTTGCTTTGAAGTCTGTCAGCCTGGTAGACTTGTCTCGGCTGAACCTTGTATCTACCAGGTAGACTAATACTGATACCCTTCCAGTATGAGCACACCCTTGATTCAGCTCCTTACGGGAACATGATTCTGCTAGCAAATAATTAGAAAGTATCTCAATGGCCTGAAGTGGGGGGTTGACTTCAGAATTGTATGCAACCACCGAAAATATTACTGCAGAAATGTGCCAACTGATATGGGAAGATAGTTATAATATACAGCAGAAAAAAGCTAAAGGTTAGAAAGTTGTATGGTATGGGAAAATCCACTATTATATCCACAGATTTGGAGCAACGTACACTAATGTTTAACTTTGGCTGACTCTGGGTGGATGAAATTTTGGGTGTTTTGGGTTTTTTTGCTTGTCCATCTATTCTAACTCTTCTGTAATAGACGCATTTAAGCATTTAAAGAAACCTGATTAAAAGATAGCATGACATTTTTTCAACAAACAAATCCAATTATGGCACTTTCTCTTAAATTATAATTCAAATGTGGCGGTGGTGTAACACCTAGGCATAGCGATCCTCTTATATATTTATACTTGAGATGCAGCTGGCATTGTGGTCAAGACTTCAGATTCCGGTCTTGGGGTAGCGGAGCTGCACCTTGGCTCCCCCCTCACCTCTGTAACAGCTGGTAATACCGATCTCACAGCCGCGTTGGAAAGCTCTTGGCACAGTGCCTAGCAGTACTAAGGGCTCGATGTCCTTAGCCTTCTTCAAAGGGCCACCAGGAGCCCCTGCCTAGGCCTAAAGGGCTCCGCCAGGCATCCGACAGCTATGCTGTGCATCTCGCCTGGCCTTTTCTGAGAGCAGGAAGCAAGTGGCAGCAAAAGTGGCATTCCCAGGCCACTGAACTTCCCCCGAAGCCCAATCTGTGGTTGGAAGGCAGAGGTGCTGTTATCAGCACCATGCCCACGAGGCCAAAGGTCAACAACCAAGGTTCTGAAGACCCTAAACAAGAAAGTGTCCCTGCTAGGCACTATTGGAGGAAAAACATTCACTTGTCCGTGAGAAAGACAGTGTATTTATTTGGAACACTCTAGTTTCAAAATTATCTCCTAAACTCAGAATCTATGAGACAGGATACAAATGAGTAAAATCACCACTAATTGTTACACACTTATTAAAACTCAGTTGATTATGTGGAGTAGTGTTTTCCCACATTTCTGTGGTTAAGAATCACTTTGGAGTGCTGGGGATTAATTCTGATAATACAGAGGGGCTGGTATGGGCCAGTAGTCAGGAAATTTTTATTTTTAAAAATACCTCCAGATGATTAACAAAGGAATTTGAGAAACTATAATTTGAAACATACTTTTTCAATTTCCTTTACAGATTTTAAGTCTCAAGCTACTGATCCCAGAATGACCCAGTCCAGTTTTGGGAAAGGAACACTGGTCTCACAGATTCTTAGCTTTGGAAGCATCACAAATATTTTATTCTGGTTGTTTCCTAGAACTCTTGCTCCTTTCCATTTCTGTCCCAGATCTTCTAGACATGTTTTCCGTGAAGGATCCATCTTCCTTGAGTTGAGGCATAGCAATCTAATCACAGCATTTTCAAAAACCTTAACAAATTTTCTTATTAAAAGATTTATTGTTAAAGCTTTCTTTAACAATCCCTTGGCTTGCTTCTGTCCAGCTCCCTCCTGTCCCGAAGCTTAAGGAGTTTCAGTGGCGTTGTGCAGGCTCAATATTCTGGCCTTTCCACCCTGCACCTCATACTGACGACCCCGTGTATGCCGGCCCGGATCTCATCGTTTTCTTTCACGGGGCCAACTCCCTTTGGCGTCCCGGTCAGGATAATATCCCCTTCCTCCAAGGTCATTATCTTAGAAACGTAGCTGATGATGTAGGGGATGGGAAAGATCATTGAGGACGTGTCACCCTCCTGTCTGAGCTCGCCGTTGACCTTGAGCCAGAGCTTCAGGTTGTGGGGGTCCGAGATCTTGTCCCTGGGCACGAATGCACTCACGGGGCAGGAGGCCGTGAAGCCCTTGGCCAGCGTCCAGGGCAGCCCCTTCTTCTTGCACTCGTCTTGCACGTCTCTGGCGGTCATGTCCAGGCACAGGGCATAGCCGGCCACGCTGTCCATGGCGGCGGCCTCCGGGACGGCGCGACTGCGCCTGCCCAGCACCACGCCCAGCTCGAGCTCGTGCTGCAGGTCGCGGGTGTAGGCCGGCATGAGCACGGGCGCGCCCTCGGGCGCGTAGGCGCTGGAAGGCTTCAGGAAGAGCACCGGCTCGCGCGGCACGGCGCTCCGCATCTCCCGGGCGTGCTCCGCGTAGTTCCGGCCCACGCACACGATGTTCTTCCCCCACTCCCAGAAGCGGGACAGCGGCCTCGGCGCCGCCATGGCTGCGCCCGGCGTCCCGCGGCCCCTGCCCGCCGCCTACGGCAGCCTGGAGGGGACCAACCGCCTCGGAGCGCTGCCCCGTGCGCGCGGTCCGTTCCGCGGGGCGCTCTGCCGGGTGCCCGCCCGTCTCGGCGTTTGGCCTGCAGAGAGCCGCTGCGCGGGGACGCCCACGCGGTCGAGGAGAGAGGCGGGGTCTCCTGCGGGGTTCCGTCCCTCGGGCTGTGGCGCCGGCCAAGGCGCGGGGGCGGGGCCTGGCGCTGATTGGCCGGGGCGGGCCCGGGCGCTGATTGGCCGCGGCTCCCCACAGCACCGCCCGCCCCTCCGCGTCGTCCCCAGCGCCGCCGCCGCGTCATGGTTCTCGGTCGCGGGCTGCTCGGCCGCCGGAGCCTCGCCGCCCTGGGAGCCTGCGCCCGCCGCGGCCCGGGTAGGTGGGAGGCGCGCCCACGGGAAAGGCCGTCGGGCTGGCCGCGCTCAGAGGGTGTCCGGCGGCGGCGGGCGGCGTGGACGCTGCCCTCGGCGCGGCGTGAGTCACTCGCCGGGGACGGCGGCGGCCTGTGAGCCGGGGCTGCGCCGGCGCGGAGGTGGCGCCGGGGGCCTGGCCCCGGCCCTCGCGTGCGGTCCGCAGAGGCAGCAGCGCTCCGGTGTGAGCTCGGCGGACGGGGAAACCCGGGGCCCGCGGCCGCGCAGCGAGGACGGGGCCGAGCCTTGGACCTGCCCGGGGCCCTCGCGGGCTGTGCTTCCACCGGCCCCTAAGCCCGGAGCCTCCCAGCAGAGCCCAGTCTCTCTGTTTACCTCCTGCTTAGTTGGGACATTTTCACCTTGATGCCGAAATCTCTATTTCCTGGTATTCAATCTGGCCGACGTCCCAGCGGGGGCAGTGGGTTAGCCTGAGTCTGCGAGCTGGTTGGCCGCCAGCTAAGGGACCGCGGAGCGCCCGGAAGGGAGGTGGAGCAAGCAGCGAGGCCGTCCTTGGCCGTGTTCACATCTTGCTGGAAATTCCGGAGTGGGAATGTGTGGCCCTCGCTAAGGGCAGAGCCCGTTTCTTTTCCATGTGGGCACACTCATCAAAGTGTCAGGAGACAGGCAGATAGAGTGAGCGGTACTATGGGGAACTGGCCCGTGTGGCCGCCTCATTCAAGGGAGGACCCCAGCCCCACCCACTTGACGCCGCGGGGAAGGGCCGCCCAGTTTGGTTTGCAGAGCCAAATGGAACAGGTCTCGGGGCTTGGCCCGGACTGTGGGCTGCAGGTCTGTGCCCTCTGCTTATACAGAAAGTCACAGTTGCAAACCAGTGAGCCGGGAGTGTTTCTCAGGCAGTTGGCTGGAAAAGGAATAAGGTTTCTGGTAGTGTCTGCAGAAACAGCTACAACTTCCCCAGGTTCACAAGGCTCTGGGAGCACTTAGGGAGCCTAAGCACCTGGTAAAAGCGTTCCCTTCACCTGGGCAGGGCTTCTGGGGAATCAGCGGACTGGGCCCCTCCGAGGAGGATGCTCCCGGACTCACGGGGCTCCCCTTAATCCCTGTGCTGTCCCTAGGACGCGAACTCCGCTCTGCCAGCCTCCTGGGGCTGGGATAGCACTGAGGGGAGGGGACGTGGAATGTCACAGAAACTTGGTCACGCACAAATGTTGGTTTTGCTGTCAAGAGGAGAAGGGCCTGGAATGCCCAGCTGGTTGTTAAAGAAAAGGGGGAATTGGGTATTCTTGTGTACTCAATAAAGCTGCGATTCAGGACAGCACTTGCCCCAGCTGTGGTAGGTTGAATTCTGTATTTAGACAGCCCCTGGACAGGTGTCCTGTCTGTCTTGTCAGTCGGGGCTGCCTGCCTTCTGGATCTTTTTCTGGGAGAGGCTCCCATCCAGCACCTTTCCCAGAATTTCAAGGCTGTCTTCTCTGTAGCTTTTCTTTCTATAAGTCCTTTCACCTTTAGACTTAAAGTATTGTTGGGGCCTCCTTGAAATTCTGGATTGCACAGGGGTTCTGTCGCTGATGTATTTTGGCACTGTCTCCCGGTGGAGGGTGCTTTGTGCCGTCACTTCTGGCCCACCCTGGCAGGGTCCTGTGGCTTGGATGGAGATTCTGTACCCGCTCAAATCTAGGAATGGTTGCAGCCCACTCTGCCATTTCTCGGGCCCTTGTGGGTTTTGTGCATTATCCAAATTTTGAGTTCCTGCTGATTGAAAGTGAATGTTGTTTTCTTCCCTGGCTAGAGGCCTGGGAAGAGCTGTAAGTGCACATGACTCAGCCTGGCGCTGAGGGGAACAGCCCAGCCTGGCACCTTGGGTTCCTCCCTTCGTGGTCTGTCTGCGAGTCGGGTGTGAACACCCCAGAATGGCAGTGGTCACATCTGATGAGGTTTTAATCACAGCCACAAGCTGGCATGTCTGTCCTCTTAGAGCCCTTGGAGAAGAGAATAAGGATCACCTGTCTGGAAGAGCTAATTTCCAGGAACATGAGCACGAAGTATTCTGTATTTTCATTACAGATATGGCTAAATGAGGATATTTTCTGCTCCACCAAAGGATCTTAGAAAACCTGGCACGGCAGGCCTCATGTTTGACGCTGAGCATATCATGTCCCAGGTTGCCTTTGCTGTTGTGTGGGGGGTTTGTTTTAAAGTCTCTGCCGATGTGGCGTCATGCGGACACTGACCTAAGCTGCGTCTGTCTTCCAGCCCTGCTGGGAATCCTCCTTTATCACATGGCTTTAAGGAAGAGCCTGACTGTGGAGCAGGGCACTATGAAGGTTGAGTTACTGCCTGCCCTGACCGACAACTACATGTACCTGGTCATCGATGGTGATACCAAGGAGGCTGCCATTGTGGACCCTGTGCAGCCCCAGAAGGTGGGAGGCATGGCCCCAGTGCCAGTTCTTCATCCCCTGTTGGGCTTCATTACTGTGGTATCCTTGTAACTTGGCTGAAGCCCAGCGGAAATGAATCTGTTTGGTTTTTAAAGAACAAACAAGTGTTCAGCCACTCTGCTGTGGGGGCAAAGGGCCAGCGAGGGGGCAGAAGTGGCCAAAGGCTTTGGCATGGGAGATGAGGGCTTCTGTGTGTCAGGCCCCAGGCACAGGGAAGCAGGAGCTCTCCTGGGCACTGCCTTTCCCTGGGCAGCGCAACCGGGGGCGGCGAGCCAGTGCCGGGGTGTGACCTCTGGCCTGTGTCCTGGTTCGTATTTGGTTGCAGGTGTTAGAAGCGGTGAGGAAGCGCGGCGTGAAGCTGAGCACAGCGCTCACCACCCACCACCACTGGTACGTCCTGCGGTGCTGGCCTTCCTCCACTTCTCAGAGCTGCCTGGGCCCGTGGGCTCCGGCCACACCACCCCCTGGGCCGGGGTCTGTCACCGGGCTGGGTGCGCAGGCTCGCCACGCTCAGAGCCCTGGAGGCCGCCCTCCAGCTGCTGCGTCCACGGACCGGCTGAGGGGCCGCCCCCAGTGGGATTCTGCGACCTCAGGTGCGGGCCACCCTGCTGGTGGGTCTGCAGGGAGACCTCCGGCAGCATCTGCAGGTGTGTGGGCTGTTGTGACGGCTGCCCGGGGTGACCCTCAGAGGTGGGAGAAGGCATCTTCCCGTACGGGTCACTCAACTCCGCTGACGAGGACCGACTCAGACACCGTTCCCACGCCAGGTGCTTCCCCGCGGGGCCTGCATTTGGGTTTCAGGGCTAGAATTGCCAGCCAGAGGCCCTTACTTGGAGTTTTTGAAACTTTTGAGGCTAAAAAGCTAGAAAAGTACATTTTTTGGCTCTAAATTTTCCTTTCCAAGTGAGTGCCTGAGGACGGCCTGCGTGCTGGTGCCGGGCCCCGTGGCCCCCGCTCTCAGCCCGCATGGGGCTCCGGCATGTCCGGGCTTTCTCCTCGTGGTAAACGAGGCCTCTCTCCCAGGGAGTGTTGTGTGGGTGTGCTGTGGCCGGAGTTTGTCAGATGGTGGCATGTCGTGGTTGAGGCGGCCACATCACCTGGAGCCTTTGGGGTGCTCAGTCCCTGGGGCACAGGCGCTGACCCCTGTGCGTGTCAGGGATGGGCTGTCACAGGCCAAGCGCTCTTCCCTCCGGGAGTCTGCTCGCGTGCGGTGCTGAGGCGCCCCGTGGCTGGCGGGGCCTTTCCTCCGCCACCGCGTAAGCCCCGTGTCACTTTGCTTTTCAGATGTTTCAATGCTTTGGGGTTTTCCTCGGCACCTGTGTTCATGCTAGAATGGGAGACCCGAAACCAGGTCCTAATGGAGCCCCAGGCCCAGCCGAGCCTCCCTCCCACTTAGTGCGGCCATGGGGTTTCCCTGGGAGCGCGGGTGCGCCGAGGCAGTACTGGCTGGTGTGGGACAGCCCGGGATGGGGCAGTTATCTCTGGGCCCCTGGGATCCTAGGGGGATGTGTGGGAGGAGCAGGTGCTCCTGGCGATAAAAGCCCTCGCCTGGTACTGGGAGGGCCGATCTTCTGTGCCAGGCACTCCCCGCCCTGCCCTGAGCCTGGCCCCGGCCGGGCTCACATCGGTGTAAGTCCAACCCCACGAGGTGGACTCTTCCTCACGCCTTCCTGAGTGTGGGTTGGGCTGACCCCACGGGAGCACCGGGCACCCCTGGACGAACGCCTCGGAGGTGCCCGGCTCTGGCTGTATGTTCGGGTTGCCTGCGGGTCATCCAGGTGGCCTGCCCTGGGCAGATGGACCCTCGGGGGCCGGACAGGGCCGGGTTAGAAGACCGCTGTGGGTCCGCCCTGGGCCAGGAGCCGGGAGGCGGTGGCTCATGCTGCCAACATCCTCGGGAGATGCTGACGGGCCCAAAGGTCGGGACGTCTGTTTTGGTTTGTCTTCTCCAGAGCTTCAGAAGCAACAGCAGTGGTGTGGATGCACCTGGCGTGGGAACGGGTGTCCGAGCCGCCCTTATTAGTAGGGCTGAGTGACCTGTGTGGGGAGACCCTCTCCCACCTCTGAGGGTTGTCACTGGCAAGGGGGAAGCAAGCACCCCCAACATCCCACCCCCACTAGCAGGAGCCCCTAGTCTTCTTTCTGACTTCCAGGGACCACGCTGGTGGGAACGAGAAGCTGGTCAAGCTGGAGCCTGGGCTGAAGGTGTATGGGGGTGATGACCGGATCGGGGCGCTGACTCACAGGGTCACCCACCTGTCCACACTGCAGGTGAGGTGTGAGCCAGTGAGAGGGGCTTGAACATGGCCCTGCTGGGCTCCAGGCCCAGAGCACAGTGTGGTGGAACCACTGCCTCCCCCTCCTGGCTGTCTCCTCCCTCACCAAGGGGCCAAAGGGCACTTGAGGGCTTGGGCTCTGGAGGCCAGCCTGGGGATGGGCAGAGGCCCCTTGGGCTGCCTGGGCTGGATAGTCCCCTCTGCTGTAAGCCAGTCAGGTGCAAATGGTGACAGGTTTGGTTTTGAGACAGTTGGGGACACGTGTGGACTGTGCGTGGGACCCCTTCCTCAGGCCAGCATTAGGTCTGGGGGGTGGCGGTGATGAGTCACGTGGAGGTCTTTGCTTAGGAGGTGGGGCTGGAGCACGCAGGGCGGTCTGCTGGGAGCTGCGGCCCCTCGCGAGGTGCGGGAGGATGGGGGCTCTGAGCCCTGGGGACCCAGGTGAAGGCTGCACGGACGCTCAGCTTTATTTCAGTTTTCTTGTAGGTTTGAACATTTCAGAAGCGAAGAGATGGGGAGGGGTGGGGAGGCATAGAAGGAAAATGAAATGGAAGGCCGAGCACCTAAGGAGGAGAACCATCTTTTCCAGCAAGACACCCGGTTCAGATTTGGCCCAGTTTTGAGGGAGAAAATGAAATTAGCCCCTTTGGTTTTGTGCACTAGCAACACCGGGTGCCAGGTGGTCCCTTCCCTTGGGGCCACACTCAGAGGCTCAAGGGCTGCGTCCCTGCCACCCTGCGAGCCGAGCAGCACCCTGCGAGCACCGTGCGCTGGGAGCTCCTGAAGTGGGGGGTGTGGTCAGGGCGGGAGTCCGTGAGGCCTTCAGGGAGCACATGCCAGTGTGTGGCCTGTTTAAGGTGGGGTCTCTTCACGTCAAGTGCCTGTGGACACCGTGCCACACTTCTGGACACATCTGCTACTTGGTGAGCAAGCCCAACAGTTCTGAGCCCCCTGCCGTGTTCACAGGTGAGTTTTCTGGGGGTCAGGCAGCTGAGGAAGGCCTCCTCGGAGGAGGCCACAGTGCCGGCGGGTGTGTGGCTCTGGCCCTGGAAGGTGGTGGGCAGGCAGTCTGTGGGGCAGCCTGATGTCTGTGGGGTCTGGGATCCCAGACATGGGACCCAGCTGGTGGCAGAGTGCTGAGGCCACGAGCAGCTCAGGTGGCCTGGGAAGGGGAGGCCACAGCGGACCTGGGAACCATGGGCCGTGTCTGGTGTGTATGGGGAGGTGGCGGGACCCCTGGGTGCTCTTGGCAGTTGGCTGGTGGTGGAGTGTGAGCAGGGGAGGTGGCATGCAGGAGAGAGGTGGTCCTGGCTGCCAGGGATGGGGCATGGGGGCCCCGGGCCTCCCAGGGTCCTTGCTGCTGAGATGCAGCCGGTGAGGATGTGGCCCCCCCCCCAAGGAGGCCCAGGAAGCCCCCAGGAGGGCTGCTGGTCCCTGCTGCACCCGTGCACAGCCCTCTCCTCTGGGCTGTTCTGGCCTCTCGCTGGCCCAGACTCCAGGTCGAGGTGGCCTTCAGGGCCAGGCCACTGGGAGCCTGGAGGCTGTGAGGGGTGGGGCGGGCTCCCTGGAAGAGCCTGGCCAGCACAGATGGGGGGACGCGGCTGCACCTGGTGGCTGCTGGTCTTCTCCCATGGGCCTCCTTGGGCACGAAGCCCATTCTCGGGAGAGACTGGGCAGGAAGCAGCCTGGCAGGTGTCAGGGCAGAATGGGGTTGGGGGTCTGCAGGGTGGCAAGTCCTTGTCACAAGGGCCCTGGTGGGCTTTGGTCCCAAGAGAGGGGCTCCTGCAGGGTCCAGGGGACATGGCCTGGGGAGATCATGGGGGATTCACAGGAAGGCGCTGCCCGGGATGTGGGAAGGCCGGGCCTGGGAGGGCGTTGCTGGGTGGGTGGGGGCAGGGCTGGGTCTTGTGGCCTCAGGGCAGTGGGGGGGGAAGTCGGGTGACCCCAAGGTGACTTGAACAGCCGCTTGGGCGCCAGTGGTGCCAGGTGAGAGTCAGCAGGTGGGCACTGAGCTACGGGTGTCCTTGGGCCCTCTCTGGTGTCTGGGTGGAGGCCAGGCCCGGGCTGTGCCCTTTGCCCAGGGCTCAGAGTGGAGCCCCACTGTGTGCCGCCCACGTGGGCCGGGAGGTCAGCATTGCTCTCGCGGGGGTGCGCACACCAGGGCCCTGACACCGCCCGGCGGCTGCTGTCTTCCAGGCGACACCCTGTTTGTGGCTGGCTGTGGGAAGTTCTACGAGGGGACGGCAGATGAGATGTACAAAGCCCTTCTTGAGGTCCTGGGCCGGCTCCCTCCAGACACAGTAGGTGCCCCTGGAGCCCCCACCAACCCCCGGGGGGCCAAGGGTGCTCGCCGCCTGACCCCCACGTAGGCGTGCAGGCCTGCCCGCGTGCCGGGAAGGGTGGGAGGGGGAGGCATGGTTTCCCTTTTGGTGTGTTTTGTACCCTGTATGTGTTCTTTAATGTCCATGCAAGTCCCTGGGCTCCAGGGATGTCACTGGCTGGACCGGGCCCGAGCCCTGTATGCCCATCCCGGGGGCCGGAGGGTCTGAGCCTCTCCAGAGCTCAGGCTTTGTGCTCCCCAGAGAGTGTACTGTGGGCACGAGTACACCATCAACAACCTCAAGTTTGCAAGGCACGTGGAGCCGGACAACACCGCTGTGCGGGAGAAGCTGGCCTGGGCCAAGGTGAGCGGGCGCTGGGTCCAGGGCCAGCTGGCTGGCCTCAGACAGGCTGACCGAGCCGCGGGAGGAGCCACTGCCCTGCCCGCCTCCCGGGCCTGGGCCAGGGCGCCTGTGCGGCCATGGAGTCTGCCCAGGAGGCCGCCTGTCTGAACGGTGGTGTTATTTCAGCCGTGGCCCCAGGGTGCTCGGCTGCCTGGCCTCCTGGCCTAGGGCTGTGGCCTGGGAGGCATCTCCCTGGCAGGGCTGGGGGTGCTGGCAGTCGCTGCACAGGCAGCCAGCCGAGGTGCTCCTGGACTCGGTGGTCTTCCCCGTCACTTCCCCACGAGGAGCGGTGTCAGTAAGGGACACACGCTGGAAGCTCAGCGAGTAACGTGCCTCACAGAGCTTGGCTTGGCTTAGTAAGTCACCAGCTTTTATCCAGTATCTTTATCAGTTTTTGGGGGTGGGCTTACGGAATAATACTTACAAAAATTCAGACGCTACCTTAATAAGTTGACAGACGTTACCCCATTTTTTCAGTGTGCATATATGAATGTTTGATATGACAAACTCATCCTGTTTATATACTGTGCATGTGGTTTTCTGGCTTCCTTTCCAGATAACAGCAGGTCTTAATGTTCTTTCCATAGGTGCCCATGCACGTGAACTCATTCTTTTCATTGTTACCTGTTTTTTAAAAACTAATTTTTATTGAGGACAGTTTGCCTACAATAAAGTGCACCCGTTCTGAGTGAACAGCACACAGCTGATGAATTTTGACAATGTATGCCTGTGGAGCCCCTGCCACACTTGGGGTACAGAGCTTTCCCACCACCCCAAAGGTTCCCCTCCATTTGCTGCCCCAGCGCTGCGGATCTGCTGTCACATGGGTCAGTTATTCCCAGAGTTTCATATAAGCAGAACCACGTAATATTACCCTGTGTGTCTGGTTCTTTCGCTCAGCATAATCTTTTTGAGATTCATCCATGTTCTTTTAATTACTGAGTCATACTTAGTGTGGATATACTGCAGCTCTTTGATCCACTCACCTGTGGGTGGCACTTGGGTTATTTCCAGTTTTTTGCTGTTATAAATAAAGTTGCTCTGAATGGAAGTCTTTGTGTGGACACACGTATTCAGTGCTTGTGGGCATACACTTAAGAGTGGAATTGCAGGGCCTGATGGTAGGCGTATGTTCAACTTCTAACAAACTGCCAAGCGGTTTTCTAATCGGTTGTGCTGTCTGCCATTCCTAGCAGTGTGTAAGCGTTCTGGTTGCTCCACACACTCACCCACCCTAGGTACTGTTGATTTTTAAACTTTAGCCATTCTAATAGGTGTGTAGTGGTATCTTGTGGTTTGAAAACTTAAATTTCTCAGATGGCTAATGAAATGGAATGTCTTTCTATGTACTTTACATGTCTTTGTAAAGTGTATGTTCAAATCTTTTGTCCATTAAAATTGGGTTGTCTTACTAAGTTGTAGAAATTCCTTACATATTCTGGAAGCAAGTCTTTGTGAGGCACAGATCTCATTTTCTCCTGCGTTGTGGACCTGCCTTTCCATTACTTCCATAACAGTGTCTCTCCAAGAATAAACATTTATACTTTGGATGAAGTTTAGGTCGTTAATTTTTTTTTTATACTTTTTGTGTCCCATCTAACAAATCTGGGCCCACACTTACATCACAAAGATTTTTTCCTTTGTTTTCTCTTAGAAGATGTATAGTCTTAGTTTTATGTCTTATAAATTTCGGTCAATGATGTCAAATCAGCGTTTGTCTCTGGTGTAAGGTCAGGGGAGAAGGTCACTCAACTGCCCACTGGCATCCAGTTGTTCAGGGCCATTTGTTGAAAAGACATTTCTCCTTGGGTCACTCTGGCGTCTTTGATGAATGAAGTGGGCCGTGCAGGCATGAATCTACTTCTGGACTCTGTTCTTTTCCATTGGTCAGTGTGATTTATCCTTGTGTGACTCACGCACCGTCTTAGCTGTGGTAAGTCTGGACTCAGGTAGTGTAAGTCCTGTAGCTTTATCCTTTTTAAAAATTGGTTGTGGCTCTTCTGAGTCCGTTGTATTTCTATGTGAATCTTAGGATCTTGTTAATTTTGTGTTCAGATCCTTTGCCCTTTAAAAAAACTGGAATGTCTTACTGAATGAGAGGATTTTCTTTAAAAAAAAAAAACTATATTCTGCCTACAAGTCCTTTGTCAGATACGTGTATTGTGAATAGTTTCTTCCATTCTGTGGCTCACCTTTTATTTTCTCTACAATATATTTTGAAGAAATTTTTAATTTTAATGAAGTCTAGCTTATTTTTTTTCATGGTTTATACTTTAGTCTCCTAAGAAATCTTTGGTTTTCCCAATGTCAAAAAAGTTTCCTCCTGTTTTCTTTTGGAAATTTTAGTTTTAGCTTTTCCTTCTAGATCAGTCTGATCCTCCCAGCCCCCCCATTATCCGTTGGATCTGTAGTAATGTCCCCTCTTTTATTTGATGTTGGCAATTTGTGTTCTTTTCCTTATTCTTATCAGTTTTATTGATCTTTTAAGACTTTTGCCTTAATTTTTCTTGTTTTTCCATCACACTGATTTCTGCTCTTTTTAAACTTATTTCTTGTACTTACTTTGGGTTTACTTTGCTTGCCTTTTTATAGATTCTTAAGGTAGAACCTGAGGCCCTTGACTTTCGTCCCGCTTCCTTTTCTAGGATCAGCGCTGAATGCTAACCCTCAGGTGGCCCTTTAAGCAGCAGTCCATAAATTGATATACTTACATTATATTCAATTTGAAATATTAAAAAGTCTGTGATTTCTTCGACATATGGTTTATACATATGAATTGTTAGCCTTTTCAACACTTACGAGAATTTTCATACACATGGAAAAGCCGGAGGAATTGCATAGTGGTGTACACGCACCCAGTGTGCGCTTTCTGCTGTCGCCTCACTGTGCTTACTGCCGTCTGCCTGTCCACCTCACTCGTTCTTTTTAACAAGTAAAGAATACCGATGTGGGGGTGCCACCCATCAGTCATTTTACCAGTCCCATTAGGGAGGGCACTGGAGTCGCCTCCAGTCCCGCTTTCAGGACATTGTGTAAGTCTCCACGTTTCCGTGTCTCGGGCTTCTGCAGGACCTGCTGCCCTGACCCTCGCTTAGCAGGTAGCCCCAAAGGCTGCGGCAGTTCTCACGGCCCTAGCCGACCGCCTGAGGACCTGTTCTAGGAATGTCCTTAGAGGACTTGTCTTCCCTTGTAGGAGGTAGGAGTGAGTGCTGGAGGAAGCACCGGGAATGGTCCAAAACATTCCCAGGGGGGAAAGGTCAGAGATTAGCAGTAAGCCTCCATCTTGACCTTCAGCGGGACCCGTTCCAGCGATTGAACCCCACCTGACGCCGCTGCTCTCGGTCATGGCGGGTTGGGACCTTGGGGTCCGAGGGCCCTGACACTGCCCACACTTTGACCCTGTGGCTCTCCGGGTCAGCCCAGCAGAAGGGCAGGGCAGAGCCCTGGCTGTGAACTCTGACCTTGCTGTCAGACCTCCTGTGGGAGCGAGCGGTTGGCCAGACGCCCCCGCTGCGTCTCGTCCCTGTCACCCTGGTCAGCGTTGGTCAGGAGCAAGGCCCTGCAGGGGAGGTGACCAGCTGCCTGCTGGGGGCCCTCATGAGGGGGAAGCCCTGCCCGAACGCCTGTGTGGGGGCGACGGCGAGGGAAGAAGGCTGGCCATGGCTGCGGGCACCCGCGCCTCCCCTCGGGAGCTGCCACTCACCTCGCCTTCTCGGTGGGACCCTGTGTGAAGGTCCCTGGAGGGATTCAGGAGTTTCTGAATCACGCGATGTTTGTTTTGCAGGAGAAGTACAGCCTCGGGGAGCCCACGGTGCCATCCACCATTGGGGAGGAGCTCACCTACAACCCATTCATGAGAGTGAGGTGAGGGTCCCACCGGCCAGGGCCAGGGCTGCTCACTGGCACCCCGAAGGACGGTGACAGGGTGCTCACCAGAGCCGTGGAAGGCCCCAGGGTGTGCATTGTGTGGCCACAGAATCAGATGAAGGGGACACCTTCCTTGGCTCCCGGCTGGGGTGCGGGGTCCTCTCTGACCCCAGAGTCGGGATCAGCAGGCAGGAGAGGTGAAGTGCCGGCATGGAGTTGGTGTCCCCGCTCCCCCTCATCTGCAGGATGGCTCGGCTAGTGCGTCTTCCCCGTTTAGGAACCACCACATGGCCGTTGCGGCCTCGTATTTTTAAGAATGTCCCTGCTCCTCGTCTCCTCCCCGGCGCCCCGGGCAGGTGGTGTGCCTGCTGGGTGTGGCCTGCAGCCTGGCTCGGCTTCCGCAGGGAGAAGACGGTGCAGCGGCACGCGGGCGAGACGGACCCCGTGGCCACAATGCGGGCCATCCGCAAGGAGAAGGACCAGTTCCGGGTGCCCCGGGACTGAGGTGCCCTCGGCAGCCACCCCCCTTCACACGTGCTTGGGTGTCCGGATGGCCTTGTGGATTTCCTGCCGGCTGTGTAGGAAATTCAGTCCGGGGTTGATTTTCACTTAATTCCAGCACCCTTGTGTGCTTGTTTTATCAACTGTTCTAATGCATATTTATAAGAGAAGAAGGTCATGAAGTGTTTATTCCCGGAAGCCCTTTCTGTGGGCCTGCGGTCACCGTGCACAACTCCACGTGCCGCCCCAGGAGCTGCCCCGTGCCTGCCAAGCCCACACCCCAAGCTGTCGTTCTGAGCTCCGTGCCTTCCATGGCACAGCCCTGAGTGGCACCCCTCATCTCCAGACCCCGAGAGGAGGGGCCGGCACAACCCACGCCCTCCCCTACCTGTGTTCTCCACGTTGATGGGCAGAACAAGGCAGCTGGGCCGGGGTAGCATTTCCAGGCATGAAGCTGGGCCTGAGAGCCGGCCGTGTGGCGCCCACCTGCCCCATCGCTGTGAAGGCGTTCTCAGAGGCCAGCGCAGGACATTGTCTCCTGTAGCAAAAGGAGTGGGTGGGAGGGCCTTGAGGACTGTCTGCAGTGGGGGGTCCCTGGCCCCCGCGTGGCTCTTGGACACGCCATCCACACCTTGCCACCCCTGCTTGAGCTCTGATACACCCAGGCCCCTGGCGGGAGTGTGGCAGGGCCCCTCCTGCGGGCTTGATGTGGGTGTCGTGTGGCACGGCCGTGCCAGGTGTGGCCGCTTAGCCTGCAGCCTCAGGCCACTCGGGTCCTGGGAGGACGGGGGGCTCTGGCCGCAGCAAGTCACACCCCAGGCAGAGCTGGCGGGAGGTCTGCATGGGGAGGAACGAGGCGCCTCAGGCCACTCGGGTCCTGGGAGGACGGGGGGCTCTGGCCGCAGCAAGTCACACCCCAGGCAGAGCTGGCGGGAGGTCTGCATGGGGAGGAACGAGGTCCCCCGGCGTCTAGGGCCCTGAGCCGGGGGAAGGAGAGGGGAGACTCCGGGTGCGCGGGCTGAACGGGACATTTGTGGGCTGCAGGGCTGCAGGGCAGAGGAGTTCCCTGCCAACTCCTTTCTGGAGCTGGAAGTTGTCCTGTGCTTTCAAAGTTCCCTTGTTTTTTGGGTGTTTGGCCTTGACCTGTAAGGCGAGCAGGGCTGGGAGTGGGTCTGCTGCTGCCCCAGCTGATCCCCGCCCAGTGCGGCTGTCAGAGCTTTTCTGCCTGGCTGAGGCCTGCTGCCACTTCCGCCAACGTTGGCACCTGGACGGCTTGTCCAGATGGGTCACCATGAAGCCTGGCTGTCTGTGTCCCCTGCACAGATGTCCTCAGGTCCCAGAGGTGATGGTCCCCACCCGTGGCTGAGCTTCTCTGCAGTTGGCTCTGGCCACAGTGCTGCAAGGCTGGGGGTCCAGGACACTGGAAACCTGCACGAGCGTCACACAGAATCATTCTTGCCCAGGCACCGTGACATTCCAGATGGGGCCAAAGTGCCGTGACCAGTGCCCCTGCTCCCGGGATGTCACGGCATGGAGCTTGCATGGGTCCTTCTAGAAGCTTCATCTCGTGGCTTTGTACCAACAGTGTGGAAATACCGCTGCTCCAGATCTGTGGCTTTGCAATACCTGTAAATGCTGGAGAGCTCCAGGGCGCTGTGCCATTCCAGCAGGCTGTGTGGGTGGCAGCACTGCCTGGGGACCCGAGATCACTGCCCATTTCCACAGCAGGTGCATCTTCCCCACATCAGAAAGGCAGCACTGAGGACGTGCGGTTCAAGAAGCCCTTCTCCCCAAGTGCCCCGCGACCCCACGCTCCCCTCCTAGTTGTCCTCTTATTCCCGTCGCGCGTTTAAATGTCAAAGAGTAGAAACAAAACGTTTATGGAGCACATGGACACAGGGACGTAGAAGCTGCCCACCACCCGGCCTCTGCAGCCCTCGGGCCACCACAGAGCCAGGAGTGCCCAAATGGTAGGCAGTTTCCCTTTGCAAATGGTGGGGTCCTGCTGGGCTGTGGCCGCGTTGTCAGAGCAGCTGTGGTTGGATGTGTGGCCGCGGAGAACATGCATTTCCACTTGGGAGAGGGTTCCAGCCCCACCAGTCAAGCCAGCTGGCCCCCCAGACCTGTTGGCCTTCAGCCTGTGCATTTCTGCCTACCGGGAGGGAGACCTGGGAGGTGGAAGGGCCCCGAGGGAGGCTTCAGGGCGTTCACTGGTGCCTGGAGCGCCGAATCCCTCCCCGCTTAGCAGCCACTGGGATCCTGGTTTCTGCCCTGGTCCTTGGGGAGCCCTTTATGTTCCTGGTGGCATATGTTACGGGTTCTCATTTGCTGCAGGTTTCTAAGCCAGTGTCTTGTTGAAGTTCTTAGTTTTAGTCACGGGCACTTCGTCCCTTGGGGCAAATGCCTGTGTTCTGCTGACCGCCCCTCCCTGCAGCGCCTCCTGCCCTCTCACCCCAGTTCCTTGTTTTGCTTTTCACACTCAGGTTTGTGATTCATGTGAAAAGGCTGCTTCCCTGGTGGCCAGGTGGGTTTGCCCGCCTGGGTGGGTGCCCAGATGGCCCGACCCGGGGCTGCCCCGCTGGAGAGCTGGGCCTGCTGCGCCTACGGGTACCTGGCAGGTGCTTCGTGTCTGGGCTTTGGGCTGGAGTCACACCAACTCACTGGACTGCAAAGAAGGGACACAGACTCAGTCAGGAACGTGCTCCTTGTCTGTCCCCTCCGACCCGGGAGGTTGTGGTGCTGCTGAGGTCCAGCTGAGCCAGCCACCAGCATTAGTACCACCCCACAGCAGGAGGGCACATCCCTGCACGACTGGACCCCTGTGGTCCCCAGGCCACTGGCCACCAACCTGGAGTTTCCCACAACCCACTTGGATGGCTCACAGAACTTGGGGAAGTGCCCTACCTGTGATCTTAGCTTCTTTACAAAGGATGCAAAGCAGGACCTGCCTGGCGCAGAGCCCACCTGGGCTGCAGTGGGGCATCCAGGGCTCCCCTCCCAGGAAACTCACCAAGCTGCAGGGCCAGCGGGTGTGGGCTGTGCATGTGAATTCCTGTGCCTCCGCCCCTCCAGACGTCCAGCCCTCTGATCACAGGTGGGGCTTCTGGCATTGCAGCCACTGTCACTGGGCATGGCCAGGGCCACCGCTGGGAGATCCCAAGGACACAGGGCAGATGCTCCCCTGGGGATTTGTGACTTCTCTGGGATGGCTGGTCCCTGGACTTCACTGTAAGAGGCATTGTCTTTGAAACGACTCCAGTGGTCTGGACAGTGAGGAGGTCCAGTCAAGTCCATTCCTCAGCATCCTGCTAAATCTGCTCATCCTGAGGGGGCTGCTTCCTTTATGCTTTTAATAGTCCCCTCACCGGGGCTCCTGTTTCTGTCTCCCTGTGGAGGTGAGGGGAGCCGGCCTTAACACGCATCCGAGTGCGACACCTGCCCTCAGCTCCTGTCCTGGTGGCGAGGGGCCAGGTCAGAGGGAGGGTGCGGCAGGCAGGGGAGGTGCAGGGCGAGGCCCAGGCTGGAACGAAGGGGGGCCCTGAAGCCACACAGGGAGGCAGAGCGGCTGGAGGGGGAGCAAAGCCGGGGCCAGGGGTGCAACGAAGGGCACCTGGTTCCCTGCAGCCAGCTGCTCGCGCCGTCACAGCTCTGAATAGGAACTGGGTTTTACAGGGTGTGTGCTTCGCCGGCTGAATCCCCTTCACCTATTCCACCTGTGTTCCCACCTGTTCATGCTCCCTATTTAAATGTTGGTTTTCTTAGATTCCATACATAAGTGAGATCATAGGTTGTCTTTTTCTGTCTTATTTCACTGAACATAATGCCCTCTAGGTTCATCGTGTTGTCACAAATGGCAAGATCTCATTATTTTTTATGGCCGAGTAATATTCCATTGTGTGTGTACCACGTCTTCTTCATCCATTCGCTACCAACACGTAGGCTGCCTCCATAGCATGGCTGCTGGGAACAGTGCTGCAGTGAATACGGGGGAGCAGATATCTTTTTGAGTTGTTTTCCTTTTCTTCAGATAAATACCCAGAAATGGAATTACTGGGTCTATGATACCTCTATTACTGGTTTTTTAAGGAACCCCCATACTGTTCTCCACAGTGGCTGCACCAACTTACATCCTCACCAGTGGTGCCAAGAGTTCCCTTTTCCCCACGCCCTCACCACTTATTTCTTGTCGTTTGGAGGGTGGCCATTCTGTCTGGTGTGAGGTGACACTTCATTGTGGTGTTGAGTAGCATTTTCCTGATCATTAGTGATGTGGAGCATCTTTTCATGTACCTGTTGGCATCTGAATGTCTTTGGAAAAGTGTCTGTTCAGGCCCTTTGCCCATTTTTTTATTCAGATTTTTTTTTTTGTCATATGAGTTATTTATATATTCTGGATGTTAGCCCCTTATCACATACGTCATTCATAGATAACTTCCCCCATAGTCGGCTGCCTTTTCATTTTATTGATGGTTTCCTTTGTTCTGCGGAAGCTTTTGTTTGATGTTGTCCCACTTGCTTGGGGAGACATGTCCAGAAAAAAATCGCTAATGCTCATGTTCAGGAGTTTACTGCCTGTTTTCTTTCAGGAATCTTAATGCTCCAGGTCTTGCATTTAGGTCTTTAATCCACTTTGGGTTCACTTTTGTGCACGGCACAAGGCAGCGATCCGGTCTGCGCTCGTGCGTGTGGCCATTCGCCCGACACCATTTACTGAAGACAGTCTTTCCGCTTGTGCGCCGCTGGCTTGCCACGTGTACCGACACGCGGGCAGGCTGACCACCAGGCGCCCGTCCCGTCCCGCCGGCTGGCGTCTTCTCTTGCTGTTCCTTCCTCAGTTCAGCTCCTGCTTCTCGCCTCCTCTGGGGTCTTGTCTTCTTTCCTTGTAAGAATGTGACGCCGACCCCCTTGGGGTCTAGCGTGGGGCACGGCTCCCTGCCCTTCTGGCGCGTGCAGGTACTGGAGGCGAGGTCATTTCCCGCGAATGTGGACAAAGCCCGGGAGCCTCATCGCTCACTGCTGATTCCTGACCCAGGGTCTTTCCTCCCTTGGAGGATTTTAAAGTATTTCCCAGCTGCTTTGCCCGCTGTTTCCTGGGTCGGGGCTACACTGCTCACCAAGCTGCATCCCTGTGCATTCAGTGTGGACCTTAGCCGCCAATCTGGGCTGCATCCCTGGGGGGGTCTCGCCTCTGCACTGGCACACCGGCCCAGGCAGTCTCCATGCGGCACACTCTCTCTAGTGTACAACTGCTTAGGCTTAGTAGTGACTGTGTTTTACTCATCAGAACCTTTAATGTTTTATTTTCACTTATTTAAACTGAGGCGCAGCTTACACAGCCTGCAGTTGACCAAGTGTCCAGGCCAGCGGCACTCTGCACGTTCCTGACATCAGCAGCCCCCACCTCATCTGTCAGTGAAGCTGTACGGGAGCCTCTTCTGTCCACTCACTCCTGGGGGTGCTCGTTCCAAATCACGGCGCCAGGGGCCTGGGGAGGAATCAGAGCTGGGTGGACCCATGGAGGAAGGCCAGCCCTGCACCCCCACACGTAGCCCCCCAGGACACACCCCTCCCACTGTGGCGCCGTCTGTGGGAAGCACGGGCTCTTAGCAGAGCTGGGGGGCCCTCACCCATCTGGGACTGCACTTAGCCAGCTGGGGTGGGGGGGTGGGATGCCACGGCCCTTCTCCTCCCCCATTCTTCCCCACCCCAACCCAAAGACGCTTCTGTGTTGGCAAATATTCTTAGGCCAGAGCCTCGGTGTCTTCAGCACTACAGCCAAGGATTAGGTCTCCTTTGCTCTGACTTCTGCCCTGATAGTTCTGTCACAGTGAACACCTCACGCCTAGTTTGAAGGGGCAGCAGAATGGTGGTGCAGACAGTGGGGAAAATGGATTCTGAAATCGGAGAGAAAACGGGTCATGAGGCAGGAGTAGCTGGAGACCTGAATGCCCCATGTGGCGGCTGGCAGGACCAGCGGGCATCAGCATTCTCCAGGACGGACAGGCCGTACCTCAGGCCACAACACAAGTCACAGTAAATTTTAAAAAGACCGAAGTATGTTCTCTAGTGGACATAGTTCTACAACACAGTGACGTCTGGGAAAACCCAGATGTTTGGAAGCTGAATAACATGTGACACATTTCCAGACAGCATGTGGGTCAAAAGTGAACATGAAGACATTCCACACCAGCATGTGCGGCCGGGGCAGCGCTAGAGGGAGACGGAGCCGTGAACGCCTCGATCCAAGAACAAAGGCCTCGAATCAAAGACCGAGGCTCTGCCTCCAGAGCCTGAAGAGCCAGCGAAGCCCAAGGGAAGCAGAAAGATTAAGAGGAAATCAGCAACATGTAAAACCCGAGTTAGTTCTTTGAAAATACCAACAAAATTGACAAACCAACTGACCAAGAGTATTGAGGTGACACATAAACTGTCAATCATGAATAACAGAAGGGACATTGTGACCAATCCTACAGGAACGGTCAGGATTTACAAGGCAATATAGGGAAACTGTACCAACAAATCTGAAAACTTAGATGAAATGGACAAATTCCTAGAAGATACAATCACTTAAACTGGCTCAAAAAAGAAGCTGAATTTGTAAAAAGTCGTAAGTCTACATGCAGAGGAAAGCCCAGACCCATGTGGCTCCACTAGGCGCTCTGTCAGTACACCACTCACTCACAGACTCCTCGGAAAATGCGGAGGGAGCAGCTCCCAACACTCATTCGAGGAGGCTGGTGTCATCCTGACAGCAAAGCCGGGGGCACACACGCAGAAAGAACACTAGAGATCAGCGTCCCTCGTGAACACAGATGTGAAATACTTACCAAAACATCAAGAACCCAAGTACAGCAACGTGAGACCCCATTACCAAGCAGGACTTAAGCTGGAATGCAAGGTTGGTTAAACATCTAAAAATCAATTAACATGATAGACTTAGTCATAGAATAAAGGGAAAAATCCACAAGATCATCTCAACGGATGCAGAAAAACACCAAATTCCAATACCCTTTCGTGACAGAAAGTATTCACGAACAATAGTAGAAGGGAGTTTCCTCAACTGGACAAAGGACTGTGTCACTCCAATACTGATGCATCAGATCACTACAAATGCAGTGACTTAATGCAACACGTGGCTGCCATTGACAGTCCCAGGAGTCAGAGTCCAATGAGAGCCTTTGGACCAAGCGCGGCCACAGGGCTGGTTCTTCTGGAGACCAGGGAGACGTGCTTCCTGGCCCCTTCCCACCGCCAGAGGCACCACGTCCCTGGGCTCCTGGCCTCCTTCCTCCACCCTCTAGAGCCAGCAGCTGACGGGGTCCTTCTCCCGTCACCTCACACCAACCTCTTCTGACCCTTCTGCTTTTAAGGACCCTTGTAATTACACTGGGTCCACCTGGAATGTCCATATTAACCTATCTTAAGGTTGCTGAGTAGCAACCTCAAGTCCCCTTTGCCATATAATCTGACCGTCACAATTTCAGGGATAAAGACAAGACATTGGTTGGGAGCACTTTTCTGCCTGTTAGAACATCTAGGAGAAGCACCGGCTGGCCTCAGAGGCCACGGTGGAGGCCTGCAGGCTCCCCTCTGGGATCAGGACCAGGCCAGGGAGGCCAGCCTTTGCCACCTCTGCTCACACTGTGTTGGATGAGCAATGACACGAGTGCGCCTGTGCGTGTCCTCCCACCCCCAGGCCGCGCACTGCTGGAAGGGAAGAGGTCAAAATGTCCATTCACACGTGATGCAGTCTCACGTGTACCTGATCCTGAGGCCTCCGGGTACACACACACCTGGAAATAATAAGCTTAGAAAGTCCTGGGATGCAAGATTAGTGAGAAAAATCCATTGTATTTTACATACTAATCACCTGAAAATGAACTTAAAACAATTCCATTCACAATAGTATCAAAACTAATAAAGTACTTAGAAATTACTTTATTAAAGGCAATGCTAGTGTAAGATTTATATACTGGAAACCACCCAAAATCACTTAAGAAATTAAAGGGGAGCTAAACAGATCGACAGATGGTCCACATCCCTTGTTCAGAAGGCCCCTGTGGCCTCGGGTGGGTGAAGAGATGCGCCAAAAGCATGAGCTGTAAAAGTAAAAACTTTATAAACTGTACTTCATTAAAATAAACTCTGGTAGTTCAAAAGACAGTATTTTTTAAGAATGGAGACAAGCCGGACTGGGAAAAATATTTGCCAACATTGTATCTGATAATCCATAATACCTAAAGTCTTAGTGCTCAGTAAGACGATACCAAAGACGACAGAAGATTGGCCAATAAACACGAAAAGCTGCTCAGTACCATTAATCAAACACAAATGCCACCCAGAACAGCTAAAGACGAGACAGTGACTACACCGAACACTGAGGATGTGGAACGACCGGATGCTTTGTAAAACGATACAATCAGTTTGGAAAAGTTTTTTAAAAAGTTAGACACACACACTAAGCCAGCAGTTCCGCCCGAGATTGCCCGAGAGGAATGAAAACTAAGTCCGCACCGAGACAGGTATTCAGTCACCACAACTGCAGTCGGATGGACAGAGGAGCAAAGGTGGCGGGAGGCATGATGGAGCCCACGCGGCCGAGGAATGGGGCGTTGACTATGCCACGTGCGCGGGCCCTGAGAGCCTGCAAGGAAAAGAGGGCGAAGTAGGAAAGGCCTCCCGTGGCTGGGGGTGCGGCAAGGCTGCGCAGCCCTCCACGTCCACGTCCACGGAGAGGCCGCTGTGCCCCTGTGGCGGGCAGGCCGAGGCTCGTGCTGTGTGAGTGATGCCCACACAGCTGCTGCAGGCAGAGAACCTTTGGGGGAGGAAACGGTGTCACGCAGCCGGTACTTCCTGTCCTCCCAAGACACCTGTAGGGAATATTTCCAGCCTAGATAAACAGAACTAAATTGAGGAGGAAAAAGGTAACGAGCAGCAGGAGGTCACTGCCATCCAGGGAAAGGACCTCAAGGTGCACACAAGGCTGTAACACAGAAACGCACAAACTGGGAAGCCAAGGAAGCCCCACAGCGAAGGGGGCCCGCCGCACCTGTGCAGGAAAGACTCGGCCCTTGGGGGTGCTGGCTCCCTGCAGACTGCAGCCCCGCCTAACCCCCGACAGGCTGTGGCTGTGTTAGAGGCTGGCCAGGCGGTGCCGCGCCAGCCCCGGGGGCGAGGCCCTGGGGACCCACGAGAAGGGCTGCGAGTGCCCCTGCCCCGGTCGGCAGGGGTCCAGAAGGCAGCCCAGTAAGGGGAGCTGGTGGCAGGCTGCCAAGGCATTTTATGAGAACCAGTCAAGTCCATGTGCCAGTAGGACTGGAAACCATGAAGAGGTTGATGAGCTGGACTAGACGATAAACTTGTCTGGAGTATTTTCGTCTTTATTGTTGGTGTTTGGGGAATCAAGTTGGCTGTGTGAATGTCTCACGAGGCCATGTTCAAACTGACTGCCCCTGAATCACGAGGGCGGGGAACTCCAGCACAGCCCTGCACACCTGGCGAGGGGCTTCCGTCCAGAATACAATTCGTTAAATAACAAACCAGACTAACAGCAAACCCAGGAGAAAGTTGGCACGACTTCAAATGCAGTCCACAAAGCAGGACCCTTGGCTGCCGGGGAGCCTGTGAGGAGCTCACCTTTGGGGCTCAGAGCAGACGGGTGGATGTGGGGGGCACCCCTGCCGGCCTCAGGGGCTGTGGCCCACTGCCACTTGGGAGGGCTTGGCCCTGCTTGCCAGGATGACCACCCCTGCCCAGGGGTCACACTGAGGGCCAGCAGACACACGGCTGTGCGGCTGGAAACGGCCCTCAGCAGCCCACCAGAACACCTCCCACCAGGCTCAGCGCTTGCGTGCGACACTGCTAACACAGAGGTCAAGACCAGGCACAGGAAGCTGTGCGCATTGGGGAGACTGCCAGGTGGTCCATCGAGAGGCCTGGGCAGGGCCAGCCTGCAAAGGCTGCTCTCTGCACAACTCAGCAGGCCGAGGCTGGCAGCATGGCAGGACCCAAGAAAGCTTTAGAAATACCCAGCCCAGCTGCCAGAATCCTGATGTGGTTTCCTGCCAGGAAAGCTGGCTCAGGAGTTGGTTTTTCCCATACTACCCACCAGATGTGTGCAGCAGGGACACTGGTCCACCTCCCGCCCTAGTGCTGTGGCTCTGGCCTCGGCCTGCAGCTCAGGGTGCCACTCGCAGGGCGCTCCGTGCAGGGAACTTTCCAGAGAAGAGGCCCTGCTGGCCTAGAGCTCCTGCTGAGTCCGCACTTTCTGCTGTAAATGTATGTTTACCGTGTAAATTTTTGGGTGCGGACTTTCTCCCTGTGGATCTATGATTTCTCAGAAGAGAGAAGCTGAGAAATGACCTGGAAAAAAAAAAATCAAAGCTCCATAAAGGGAGGGAGGAGAGGCTGTGGCGAGAAGCCCGCTGGGCGTGGGGCACTGCGGGGCCACTGCGGGCGCAGGCAGCCTGCCTCACTCTTCCCTCGCGTGTTCGCCTGTCGCAGACCTGCCGTCTCCCCCTCCTCGCCAGGAGTTAGGTCTGAGAGGCCCCCCATGGCAGCCAGCCTGGCTTCCTGCAGACCTGGCTTCGCAGTCCCACCACCCCAGGCAGAGCAGAGGCGCTGGGGGGGCAGGCACAGGCCAGGGGAAGGGTCCTTGGGGGAGGGGATGGCCGGCCAGGGGAGCCTGGGGAGACGGGAGCTGAGCAGTGGCTGAGCCAGGGGCGGGGTGGGGGTCACAGCGGGGCTCCCCTCTCTCCAGCAGCCACGCCCACTATCAGCCCTCTCCGAGTCTGTCCTGGGGCTGACCTCGTGCCCACCCCAGGCGCCTGTCCCAGCCGGCCTGCACCCAGCAGGGTGCTGTGCCCCGTGGGAGCCCTCGGGGAGGCACAGGGCCGCAGCAGGCAGAGGCTGGCCACGCGGCCACAGGACGGGCACACCCCTCTCCTCCCAGGAGAGCAAACACAAGGGGCCTGGGGCCTGCCCTGTGTTCCTAGAAGAGCTGGGGGAGGGCAGTGGCCAGACACCAGCTGACCCCGAGGTCACAGAAGCAGGGCTGGACCCTGGGGAGCCTGAACTAGGGCCCTACCTAGGCTGTTAGGAAACGGGCAGGGGGAGGGGCAAGTGGGGGGTGGTCAGGCCCACCGGGAAACATGATCGCTGCTTAACTCCCATGTGGCCATCTGCCAGCGGGGAACCGGGAGCCGCCCCTCCCCAGGGGGGCGGCCAGGAGGGCACGGGCGTCCTCTCCTGGATTCGCCAAACCTGTCCGGAGCTCCGGCCCCTTAGGCTGCTGTGAGGGAGGCCCCCCGCGCCCACCCAAGCCTGCTGCCCAGCTCTGCACCCCCAGCCCTGCAGAGGTACAGGGATGGGCCCTGTGGGTCCTCAGCACTGCCCCACAGCCCACCTGGAGCCCTGAACTCCAAGCCTCTCCTGTGCCACCTGTATCCCAGGCATGCTGAGTCGTTGCTGGCTGCCCGGCATGAGGGGGTTAATGGAGCCGGGTCCTCAGGGCTGGGCTGGCCGGGGACAGGGCGCTGGCTGCCCAGGCGGTGGGGAAATCCAGAGGGCAGGAGCAGCCGGCCCCAGCAGACGCACCCTGCTCGCTGCCCACCTGTGGCCCACTCTGCATGAGGGATGGCGCTGAGGAAAGGTGAGGCTTCCTGGCACCCAGCCACTTGCTCTGGGGGCTAGCCCTGTGCCCTGAGCCCCCAGGGGCAGAGGCAGCCTTGGAGGGCTCAGCTTGGGAGTGTAGGGGACTCTGGGGGCGCGTGGGGGCATGTCTTTGCTGGGGTGTGGGCGCAGCCCCCACTTCTTCCTCCCACCCAAGGGCCCCAATCACCAGTGTCACAGGGCAGGAGGCATGACGCAGAGCAGGCTGGGTGTCTCCTCACACCTGCACCCTGGGAGCCTTGTCCTCCATCTGCTGGGCCAGGGCCTGCTGCCCCCCCAGCTTCCCGGAGGCCAAGCTGCTGTCATGATGTCCCCTCACAGGCCTGGCCCCATCCACTTGGGCACCCACCGGCAGTGCCCCCCACCCCGGTGTCCTGAGACCTCCAAGGGCAGAGATGAGCCTGACATGGTGGGCGGCCCAGTGCACAGTAGAGGTTTTGGGGCACAGTTACTGGGGGCCTGGTGCCCTTTGTCCCAAGGCATAGTGGGACCCCTGGTGAGTCAATGGTCTACCCCATTCCTCTCCCCACAGTGGCGCCTGGCTGACTCTCCAGGTTCAGGCCACATGTACTGGGGTACAGGTGGGTGATGCCCCCAAATCTGGGGCCCTAATGCATGCAGATTACTGCCAGCTCTCCAGGGCAGCTCCAGAACATTCTCACTCATACCTTCCGGGCCTGCTGGCAGCCTAGTCCAGGTCGTGTCCACCCCGGGACACAGATGACCACACAGCCTAACTGCCAGCCTGCCAGCCCTGTTTTCCCTGGGACAGGCAGTGCCTCCCTGCCCATCCTGGGGGTGGATAGGCAGCCTGAACCGGGCGCCCGGCTGTGCCAGCATCAGCAGGGTGCTGGCGTGTATGGCTCCCTCCAGCCCAGTGCGCGGCACCTCCCATGGCCCAATCCCAGAGCCCCTCTTCCTGCAGGAGGCCTGGCCCTGGCAGCGCTGCTGGTCTGCTGGGCGGCACTGGGCCCCCAAGGCCTAGAGGGAGTGGAGCTAGGGGACACTGGCGGCCTGCGCTGCCCAGCCGAGTGCACCTGTGGCCAGGACGACGACACAGACGAGCTCAGCGTCTTCTGCAGCTCCCGGAATCTCACACGGCTGCCTGATGGCCTCCCACATGACACCAGGGCCCTCTGGTTGGACGGCAACAACTTCTCCTCCATCCCCGCGGCGGCCTTCCAGAACCTGTCTGGGCTGGGCTTCCTCAACCTGCAGGGCAGCTGGCTCACCAGCCTGGAGCCACAGGCACTGCTGGGCCTGCACAGCCTCTGCCACCTACACCTGGAGCGGAACCAGCTGCGCAGCCTGGCGGCCCGCACCTTCCTGCACACCCCGAGGCTGGCCTCGCTGGGCCTTGGCAACAATGGCCTCAGCAGGGTGGACGAGGGCCTCTTCCAGGGCCTGGCTGACCTCTGGGCCCTCAACCTCGGCTGGAACAGCCTGGCTGTGCTGCCCGACATGGCCTTCCAGGGCCTGGCCAGCCTGCGGGAGCTGGTGCTGGCGGGCAACAAGCTGGCCTACCTGCAGCCCCCGCTCTTCTGCGGCCTGGGCGAGCTCCGTGAGCTGGACCTGAGCCGCAACGCCCTGAGGAGTGTTAAGGCCAATGTGTTTGTGAAGCTGCCCAAGCTCCGGAAGCTCTACCTGGACCACAACCTTGTCACTGCTGTGGCCCCGGGCGCCTTCCTGGGCATGAAGGCGCTGCGCTGGCTGGACCTGTCACACAACCGCGTGGGCGGGCTGCTGGAGGACACCTTCCCGGGCCTGCTGGGCCTGCACGTCCTGCGCCTGGCGCACAACGCCATCGCCGGCCTGCGGCCCCGCACCTTCAGGGACCTGCACTTCCTGGAGGAGCTGCAGCTGGGCCACAACCGCCTGCGGCAGCTGCCCGACAAGGCCTTTGAGGGCCTGGGCCAGCTGGAGGTGCTCGCGCTCAACGACAACCGGATCCAGGAGGTCAGGCTGGGCGCCTTCGCCGGCCTCGTCAACGTGGCCGTCATGGACCTTTCGGGCAACTGCCTGCGGGACCTTCCGGAGCAGGCGTTCCGGGGCCTGGGCAGGCTGCACAGCCTGCACCTGGAGGGCAGCTGCCTGGGCCGCGTCCGAGCGCACACCTTCGCCGGGCTCTCGGGCCTGCGCCGGCTCTTCCTCAAGGGCAGCGGCCTCGTGGCCGTGGAGGAGCAGAGCCTGCAGGGGCTCAGCGAGCTCCTGGAGCTGGACCTCACCTCCAACCTGCTCACGCACCTGCCGGGCCAGCTCTTCCGGGGCCTCGGCAAGCTGGAGTACCTGCTCCTCTCGGGCAACCGGCTGTCGGAGCTGCCGCCAGACGCCCTGCGGCCCCTGCAGCGTGCGTTCTGGCTGGACATCTCGCACAACCGCCTGCGGGCCCTGCCCGGGGGGGCCCTCTTGCCGCTGGGCCAGCTGCGCTACCTCAGCCTCAGGAACAACTCGCTGAGGACTTTCGTGCCGCAGGCCCCCCGCCTGGAGCGCCTGTGGCTTGAGGGCAACCCCTGGGACTGTGGCTGCTCCCTCCAGGCCCTGTGGGCCTTTGTCCGGCAGCACCCGCACACCGTGCCCCGCTTCGTCCAGGCTGTCCCAGAGGACGACGACAGCCAGCCGCCCGTGTACGCCTATAACAACATTACCTGTGCCAGCCCCCCCAGCGTTGCCGGGCTCGACCTGCGAGACGTGGGTGAGGCCCACTTTGCTCACTGCTGACCCGAGGCTCACCCTGGCCAGACACTGCCCTGTGGCCAGAACCGGCTCTCGCTGACCCAGGGCCTGGCAGGCACACTACCCTCCCGCTCTCTGGAGCCAGGCCCTGAGCTGCTCACTTGGTGGGGTGCCACCCTCCCACCCCATAACACTGGAGCTTTGCCAGGGTGGGCTCAGGACCTGTGGGCACCTGCCGGTCCCTGATGGCTTGACCTGGAGGGTGGGGAGCCCCCAGCCCTCCCTACCTGTCATCAATTAAAAGCAGTCTGGTAAACACAGCGTGTGGCCATGCAGCAGGGGCCGGAGGGTGGAAGGCAGGCTCTGGCCTGGGTACGTGAGGCCACCCTGCTCCTCCTGGGCCCTGACTCTCCACTGCTTATCCTGGGCCCTCCCAGCGCCCCCACCCACCTGACTGGGCAGCGTCCTGGAGGCGTCTGGCCCTGGGAAGCTGGGGCACAGTGGCACTGGGGCGGCCAGGCCTCACTCTCTGGCCATGGCCCTCCTGACCAAAGCCCTTGGTGGCCAAGGGGCCTTCTCCACTGGGTGCAGCGCAGGCCCCATGCCCCTCTCGAGAAGTTCTGGCCAAGGTTGCTTTACCAACCCCCCCATCCCTGCTTTCCAGATCTGTGTCCCGGGGCCATCTTGGGACAGCTGCATAGAAGAGCCCTGGGAGTCTCGCTGGGTCTCAGACGCTTCTTTCTGTTCTTAGCTCTGCATGGGGTCCCTGGTTGGGGGCCAAGCGCTCCCCACTCACACGTTCCCCCAACATCTCTAAATCCTCCACAAGCTGCCACCAAACTCGTTCCAAACATAGCCTGGCCCCAGCCTTCAGGTCCCTACTGATGGAACCACTAGCCCAGACGGGGTTCAGCGGCCCAACGCGGCAGGATGACCCGGACACACGTCTGTAAGCACGGCAGCAGGCACTTTAATTGCAGGTTCTTCTCATTATAAGTTTGATGCCTCATGAGGTGCTCCACTCCACTGCCAGTCACGCGCCCACCCACAGGCTGCCGCAGCCCGGACAGCGGAGACCCCACAGGTGCGCAGACCCGCCAGTGTGTGGACAATGGGAGGCTGGCTGTCAGGAGCAGCCAGCTGGCCTGTCCGTCTGGGGCACGTGAGTGCCAGGATGTGGTGAAGGGCCGCTGCACCAAGCCTCCACCATGTCGCCACATGCCTGCCACAGGCCTACTGGCAGAGCCACTCACCCTCAAGGGCCCTGACTCCAGGCCTGCGGGAGGAATGTGCACGGAGCTGGCAGCATGGGACCCACGCCCAGGGCCTCCGCTCAAGCCGCGTGTGGGAGCCTCACCGTGGCCGCCCCGGTCAGGACCGTAGGGCGGGGGTCTCGTCCAGGATCTTTTGGGCTATGGCGCAGAGTGCGGGAAACGCAGGGCTGTGGGGAAACTCCTGGATGAAGTCCCGGCCCTCCTCCAGGCTCTGTGTGAGCTGGGGGTCCAGGGGCACAGAGCCTGGAGGAGAGGAGGTGCTTAGGGCTCTGGGGGCACCGGGGGCAGGCGGGGACAGGGGCTGAGGGGCCCTGAAGGTGCTGCCCTGCCTGACAGCCAACCACCTGCCACCCGTGCTTGGCCCACTTGAACCAAGTGTGAGGCGAGCACTGGGGACACACGGCCACTGCGCCCAGCACCCCCCAGCAGAGGCGCTCCCAGAGCCAGAGCCAGAGCCCCCGCCATCGCTCCACCCCGCAGGCTCAGCCGGCCCTGGGGCCAAGGGAGGATGTGTGAGAGCCTGGTGGGTCCACGCTGCTCTCTCTCTGGGTGGTCAGAGGTTAGAGAGAAGCTGGGACTCGCAACTCAAGGAAGCTGGGGGGACATGCCCGCTGCTCCCCTGCCCCTTGGGCTTAGTGCACAGGCAGGCCAGCCCCCCTGGAGCAGAGGCCCAAGGGGCAGCCTCGACCTGCTCACCTAGGAAGGGGACTCCGGCGTGTCTGGCCAGCTCCTCGCCGCCGCCCCTGGAGAAGATGCTGGTGCACTCCTAGAACACAGGCCCAGCCCGCCTGTCGCTCAGCACAGCACAGCATCCTCGTTCCCCCGCTCACCCCTCTGCCTCGAGGCGGGGGACCCCCCATCACCTTCCACGACTCACTGAGCAGTGTGGGCAGACAAAACCACTCATGTTCTCCACGACCCCAATCACCCGCAAGCCTGTTTTCCTACAGAAGGTCAGCTCCCGCCGCACATCCCCCACAGACACTGCCTGGAGAGCAGGAGAGAGGCGAGACTGGCCAGTGGGCACCCTGGCAACTCGGAGCCGGGAGTGGCACCCAGCTCCTGAGAGCTGGGACAGAGCCCCACCGTACCTGGGGTGTGGTGACGACGAGGGCCCCCAGGGGACTGTAGGGGCGCAGGGCGTCCACGGCCGCCATGTGCTCATCAGAGGTGCCCGGGGGCGTGTCCACAACCAGGTAGTCCAGCTGTCCCCAGGCCACATCAGACACGAACTGCCTGATCAGCGCTGCAAAGACCCAGGCAGGCCAGGCAGGGCTCCTACGAGGCTTCCCCAGGCCGCTGGCCTCCACCCGGCCTCCGGCACACAGCGAGATCTCTGTGGGTCCCAGGGCCGCCCAACAGCACCAAGGCCCCACACAGTGGATGGGCAGGATGAGCACAGCGGGAGGCCCTTGGTCTGTCCCCCACAGGCACCCCTTTCTTTCCTGCTGTGGGGCCCCCAGCCCCCTCATACTTCTGCTCAGGCCTCAGCTGAGGATGGCGTGTTGGTGCCCAGACCCAGGAACAGCCTGGGAGACGCTGGCCTGAAGGAGGCAGCCCCTCACCTCAGGCCACGTCCACCCCGTGCCGGGCACCTTGGGTCAGAGAGCTGCCCATCCTGCAGGAGGACGGGCAGCGAGACCGCACAGCCGGGTCCCCCACTCGCACGCCCACACGCACACCTGCTGCCCAGAGACGCCAGGCCCGGGCGGAGGCCAGGAGGGCGGGAGGCAGGCAGCGCCGACCCCACCAGCTCATCACCGTTCTTTCTGGGGCCTCGCCACACCACGGCCTCGTCCGGCTCCTCCAGCAAGAAGCCCACAGACATAAGGGAGATGCTCTGCTCCTGGTCCACAAACACGGGCACCCAGCCACTGTCACACTGATGCACGGCCCTGCCCTGTGCCCGGAGCATGCGTGGGATGCTGGGGCCACACAGGTCCACATCGAGGATCCCCACCTGCAAGGAGGCAGGATGCCCAGCGGGCTGGAGGGGCCTCCCAGGGCAGAGGCACCACCCTCCTGGGCGGTGGGGGGCAGGGGCCGAGGGTCAGGAAGGGGCAGCTGGTTGGGCAGGAGGCGCTCACCTTCTTGCCTGCGTGCCTCAGGGCCAGGGCCAGTTCTGTGGAGATGGTGCTTTTCCCGACCCCCCCCTTTCCTGAGAGTACGAGGATGATGTGCTGCACGCCCGCCAGGTTTCCAGGCTCTGGTTAGGAGAAGGGAGATAGGAGAGGCCCCTCTGCACATCCACCACGTGGCCAAGCACCTCCCATGTCCTGATGCACACACCCCCAGGCCCCACGGGTTCACTCCTGCTGTAGTGCCTGAAGCTCCCTCCCAGCGTGTGCACAGGTGTGACTGTGCAGCCCTGGTGGGAGAGCCAAGGTCCTAGGCTCCCAGCAGTTCCGCGGGTGCCTGGCAGAGACTATGGAAGTGGGGTCCTCACTGCAGCCACAAGGCACATCTGTGTTGGGGCTCTTGGGACCCGGGTCCCACGCAGGTGCCTAGCACCGACCTCCAGGTCCCAGGAGGGGCGCATATGGTCTGGGGACTCCAGCAGCCCGATCCCAGCAGCCTGCGTGTCAGCTCACCTGGCTGGCCCCGGGCCGTGCTTTCCTGTGAAACCCCAGGTACTGCAGGAGCCACAGGATGTACCAGTGTCCTTGGCCACTCCCCCTGCTGGCCTCTGGCCACTCCCTGGATCCCTGCTGGCCACCAGCTCTTCCCCCTCCCCCACCTCCACCACTGAATAAGTATCCACCGTTCCAATCCCTGCCACCCCACAGGGGTGCCATCTGCATACGCACTACCCTCAGCCCCTCTGAGACCCCACATTCTTGCCCCAGCACCCCCGGCCCTCACCACGGCTCTCCTGCCCGCCTCCAATAAGCTGCTCTCCCCCAGCCCTGCCGCCAGCCCGGGGCCTCAGGCTCAGCCGAGATGCACCACCCTGGCCCCCCTCCTGAGCCCCGTCTCAAGGGGAGGTTTAAAGACCCCGCCTCCACAGCCTCCATAGGGAGGGCGCCAGGCTGGGCTTCCAGGCAAGTCTTGTCACATACGCGCCCCGGTGCCTGTCTGAGGTCTCCTTCCAGCACCAAGGTCTGGGACACCTCGTAAGGAGAGAAGGAAAGGGTGCCCCTCACCCTCAGCCAAAACACAGCCTGTGAGCACCAAGCGCCACCCAGAGGTGCTTTAGGAGCTTACTAAAGTGCTTTGGTACCAAAAGGTATTCAGGCGTCAGTTTCCCTACTGCGGCTGGGGAGGCGGAAGCCGGGAGTGAGCCGAACCCCGTCCTGACTTACCAGGCTCCTCACCGGCAGGACGCGGCTTCCTCACCGGTGGGGAGGCGGGCATTTTACCCGCCTGAGCATCTAACACCTGCGACCTGAGCGGTAGCCGGGCGGAGCTTCGCGCCTCTCGGACAGCGACCTCCGGGGTCAACCAGCAGAGCCTTTCCCTCCTAAGCCGTCTAAACCGTTCACCTGGGACACGTGTCCCGCCAATGCCGCTCTCGGGGGCAAAGCGAGGCAGCGCTCCCCAGGGGCAGGCGCGGCGCCTCGCAGGGGCCGCAGGCCTCCCCAGACTTGCCCTTAGGGCCACGCAAGGAGATCAATGGGGAGGCGGGCATTTTACCCGCCTGAGCATCTAACACCTGCGACCTGAGCGGTAGCCGGGCGGAGCTTCGCGCCTCTCGGACAGCGACCTCCGGGGTCAACCAGCAGAGCCTTTCCCTCCTAAGCCGTCTAAACCGTTCACCTGGGACACGTGTCCCGCCAATGCCGCTCTCGGGGGCAAAGCGAGGCAGCGCTCCCCAGGGGCAGGCGCGGCGCCTCGCAGGGGCCGCAGGCCTCCCCAGACTTGCCCTTAGGGCCACGCAAGGAGATCACCTGGCAGGCGAACAAGCTCTTGGACGCAAGAAACGCGCACAGGCCGTGGCCAGAGTCGGGGCTTGCGTGCGGCACGGGGAGGGCGGTCTCCACACGGCGATCCCCCCCTGCGGATTTGCACGTGCGTTTCCCCCCCCCGGGGACAAGCCTGGAGCAGCCAGATGTCCCCCCCCGGCGGCAGACCCGCCCCGATAACCACCCGCTTCAGGCTCCCTCTCCGCGCTGCGTTTACAATCCGAGGACTGAGCCAGGCAGGTCTCCGAGCAGGTAACGTGGGGACCTCCACTCCCGGGGCGCCACCCGCCCCACCTCCCGCGCTCCAAGTGTCAAGGCCCGGCGAGCGGCAGCCACGCTCCGCAAAGCACCAGGTTCGCGCGTCCGCCTCGACCCAGCAGCCCCGGTCCGGAGCGGGCGCCTCCCGACCGCGAGCAGGGCGCGCTCTCGGAGACCCGCGGCGCTCAGGGCAACGACACCGGAACGCAGGCGTGGCGCACACGTGGGTGCCCTGCGCCCCCGCGCCCCCCACTCTGGGAGTACACGGTGGGCCAGCGCCGCGCGCACTCACCCGCCGCCGCCTCCATGTCGCCCGCGGCTCCGCGCGGCGCCCGCCGGCCTCCGCCCGCGCTCCTGAGGGAAGTGCTCAGCGCCGATGGGCAGCGAAGCCCGCCCCCGGCCCTTATTGATGGGCCCTCAGCCAATCGGCGCGCACGGGGCGCTCACGGAGTTCCGGCGCAGACGGCGCGGCGGAGGCGGACCCACTTCCGTGGCAACGCCCGCGGGCGCCGCCTCCCTTCCTCTGCCCACGTCCAGTGGGCGCGCGGGCCTGTGCCGACCGCTTGCGGCGTGACCAATGGGGACGCCGAGGCAGGATGGACAGGTCCAGCAGCCTCTCGGCGTGAGGCGAGGGCCGCGCCGCCCGCCTGGTCGAGGCCCGCCCGGGGCGCCCGCCGCGGCCGCGGAGCCAATGCGGCGCGGGGCGGGGATTGTTTACGTCTCGCTCGGGAGCGGAAAGTAGGTCACGGCCGGCGGAGCGTGGCGGCGGCGGCGCGGCTGCAGGTGAGCAGCGGGCCGGCGCGCCTCCCCTCCCTGCCCGCCCGGCCCGGCCCGGCGCCCGTGCGGAGCCGCTGGCCGCGTGGAGCCGCTGGCGGGCCGGCGCGCCTTTGTTCGTGCGGCGGCGGCCCGAGGACCCCCGCGGCGCCCGGCCCTGGCCTCCAGAGGCCGGTGCGGGGCAGAGGCCGCCTGTTCCGCGCAGTGGCCGCAGACGCGGCGCCGGCCTCCGGCGGGCGGCGTCCGGGCGGGGCGGCCCGCCTCCGGGCGCAGTCCAGGGAGAGCCCGGAGGTGGGTAATGACAACAGTCGTGTCGCCGGAGGCGGCTGCGGGAGCGCAGGCCCGGCGGGGCGGCCTTCTGGGCAAAGGGCAGGCGGGAGCCGGCCGTGGAGCGAGGCCAGCAGGGCGTGGAGAGGCGCGGGGACCTTGGTGGCCCGCGGAATTTGCCTGTGTCTTAAGAACTGTGACAGGCTCTGAGAAGTTTTACGATTTGGTGGTTTACTTAAATTTTAAAAATTTGTGTTTCGAGAAAAGCTTGGCTGTAGTAAGAGGAGTGGGAGGGGCCCGAGCCCAGGCGGCCGTGGGTGGGACCACGTGGTGGCCCTGGCTGGGGAGGGGGTGTGGCGGTGGGAGGCCTCGGCCCACGGGTGGGAGGGACAGGGAGCTGCTGGGATGACAGCCCCACGTCTGGCACGAGGAACTGGGAGGTTAGGGATTCCATTTGTCAAGCTGGACAGGGGAGGCGGCTCTGGCCAGGGTTTGAGATGCCTGAGGGACAAGCAGGCGGACAGCTGGGCTCGGGAGGCTGCTCAGAGGGGCTGACGTACATCTGGGAGCCATGGATGTTTGGAGGACATTCCATATTCTCTGCCTAGGTTTTATCAGGGTGCTTGGACACTGGAGTGAGGTGCGAGCTTGGGAAGAGAATTCCAGAGCCCTGGCTTGGCATCTCCTATCGGGTGGGTCTGGCACAGCCCGAGGGCAGAGTGCAGGGGCTGTTGGGACCCCTTCCACGTGCTGCACGCATGTCTTCTTTGCTGAAAACTTGTGTTTTCTTCTAGATCCTGTCCACCATGGCCAGGCGTCCCCGGAGCAGCAGAGCATGGCATTTTGTTCTGAGCGCAGCCCGTCGAGATGCAGATGCCCGGGCTGTGGCTCTGGCAGGGACCGCTAGCTGGGACTGTGACTCTGATGGGCAGGTAGGTCCCAGTGGGTGACGAGGACATGGCTTGACTAGGGTGCAAAGATGGCGCTAAGGGCAGAGTACAGGGCCACCAGCCTCCAGCCCTACTATCCCTTGGTAGTTCTCTGCTCACCCAGGCCAAGGACTCACATGGTCCCAGGGTGACAGGACTTCAGGACAAATGCCACATCCCCAACGTGCTTCCCTCTGGAGAGAGTGCTTGTGGGTTGTTTGTTCCGTGAGTTGAACAAAACCTACATTTCGCTTAACCAACCAGTTCCCAAAGGTCATTGTTAACTGGGTGTGTGTCCTGGACGTGTCCTTTGCCTGTACAGAGACAAAACTCCACATTCGTGCACGTGCATGTATACACACATATGCATGTAAAAAAAGAACTTAAATTCTCAAAGACCAGAATCCCTGTGCCTTCCTCTGCTCAGCAAGCCCCGAGCTCTGGGAGACTAAGGGACCTGGATGCCCTCGGAGCAGCTCAGCCCGGTCCCCAGGCTGCCTGACGCACTGCCCAGGCACACCCGCTGCCCCCTGCGGGGGGCTATCCTTGGATGACGTGGTTCTGTTCTCACAGCCACCTTGTACTGTTCCCTGGCTTAGCCAGGTGCCCTGGGTCAGGGTGGGTGCTCTCCTCCCTAGAGCGAAGGCTGCTGAGCCCTGTGGAACCACCAGGATTTGGGGAGAATTGGAGATGACGGTTCTGGGTTGGCAGCATCTGGAGCCCCATCCTGGGGCCCCCCCCAGCTCCCTGTGCAGGCCAGCAGGAGGCCCTGGCCTACAGTCCTGTTCTGCCTTCAGCTCCCACTGACCACGTGGCCTGGAACGATCTGTTCTGAGCCTGTCCCTGCCCTGCCAACTCAGCGCTGCAGGATGCAGGAGATGCTGGGGGGCCAGGGCTGCACCCCACACATGCTTACAGCACCGTGTCAGCTGATAGGCTTGGAGCGCTTGTGTGGGTGTGTGACCCTGCGATCTCTGAAAGCTGAACAGACGCCTCTCTGCCCTCTTTCTGTCTCACAGTGGGCTTGGGGCTGCCTCCTGCCCAGGGGCTGGTGTACCGGTGCTGACCGGGTTAGCTCCAGGGCCTGCGGTGCAGGCTTCTGGCTCAGTAGAAAGGCGTTGCCTCTGGTCAGTCCTTCTCCTTGGTGAGCTTCTGCGTGGGCCCCCGTGTAACAGGAAAGGAATGAGGGCCAGGCCCCTCCCCTGAGCTTAGGTTCTGGTGGGAGGAGGCAGACCAACAGGGCAAAGGAGACGGAGCCTGAGAAGGGAGTGGGGGCGAGGGGAGAGCCTCTTTGAAGTGACATTTAAAAGCTTTGCTCCAGGGGCAGAGACCCTCCAGGGAGACAGGTGGACATAGCAGGTGGCTGGGCAGAGGCAGCCCAGCAGGCTGGTGTGGGTGGGGGGCAGCCTTTAGTCTTAGGGTGGCAGGAGCTGCCCAAGAACTAAGCAAGGTCACCTAGGCTGCCATGCAGAGGACATTGCAGGGAGACCTGGGGCACCCAGAGGTTAGGAGAGCGGTGGAGGCTGGTGCCTGACTGGCCCCCCAGGCCAACTTATGAGGGCTAGCAGAACGGGTACTGGGGTCAGAGGCCTGGGCAGTGAGGCCTCAACCAAGGCAGGTGTTGGATGGCTGCACTGCAGGAAGCAGGTGGACAGGAAGCACCTGGCTGGTCTCCAGGAGGGCCTGTGGGTCAGCCAGTCACCAGACAAGGCTGCTTAGACCCCCAGGGTTGGAGCACGTCCCAGTGGGGGGCCAGGCCCCAGTGAGTGTTTCCCTGCAACAAACCTCAAGGCGTGGCATAGCGCTGGGCCCATTGTGGCCTGTGTGGGGGCCAAGGGCTGTCCTCTGCTCAGACAGCAAGGGGGCCACAGCCCAGCACAGGCACCCCCAAGAGAGGAGCCGCTATGGTCAGCAGTGGAATTTGCCGTGGGCTCTTCTGCCCAGGCCCCCTAGCAGGGCCGCAGTGTATCTGTCTAGAAGCTGCCTGGAGAATGGCAGATGGCTGAGCAGGTGGCCCTGCCCTGGGGCACATTAGTGGCTGGGCTCCCAGGACCCCCTTAGCTGTGTAGAAATTGGGTCGAGCCCTTGAGCCCACTCCCAGGAAGTCAGTGATCCCAGGCCTTTGGGGAGGAGGTGTCCAGGATCACTGGGTGGCACCTGGGAAGGGTGGGCCAGCTGTGCGCTTGGGCCCAGAGAAGCCCTTTGAGGCGAAACCCCCAGATCCCTTCCTCAGGGCATGGAAACAGTATGAGCCACTGGCGGGCAGAGGGCAGGTGGAGGGCTTGGAGGGTGGGCGCAGCTAGCCCTTTCCTCCCAGCACAGTGACTCAGACTCCGACCCTGAGGCCACGGCCCCACCGCCCGTCCCCAGCGCCGTGCCTGTGACCGGGGAGTCCTTCTGTGACTGCGACAGCCAGAGCGAGGCGCCCTTCTGCGGTGGCCTGCACGCCGTGCGCCGGGGCAGGGACTGCCACTGCGGCGAGGAGGACGACCGTGAGCAGCGGGCGCCCGGGCTGGGCTGGTGGCCTCCTGGCGGGGCTCCAGAGGCCGCCCTGCCCAATCTCTCGCTCTTGCAGATTTCGACTGGGTCTGGGATGACCTGAGTAAGTCCTCGGCCACCCTGCTGAGCTGTGACAACCGTAAGGTGGACTTCCACACGGAGTACAGCTGCGGCACTGCGGCCATCCGGGGCACCAAGGAGCTGGGGGAGGGCCAGCACTTCTGGGAGATCAAGATGACCTCGCCCGTCTACGGCACAGACATGGTGAGTGGCCGCACGGCGCTGGGGAGCTGCCGGCCGCCTGCTCCGACCCCTCCACTTCTGCCCACCCTGCCGTCCCCAGATGGTGGGCATCGGGACGTCAGACGTGGACCTGGACAAATACCACCACACGTTCTGCAGCCTGCTTGGCAGGGACGAAGACAGCTGGGGTCTCTCCTACACAGGTGTGCGGGGCCGGGGAGTGGGGGGCCGGGAGGGCCAAGGCAACAGAGCTCACCCCTCTGCGGCCCCCAGGCCTCCTCCACCACAAGGGCGACAAGACGAGCTTCTCCTCACGCTTCGGCCAGGGCTCCATCATCGGGGTGCATCTGGACACCTGGCACGGGACGCTGACTTTCTTTAAGAACAGGAAGTGCATAGGTGAGGGGGCGTGATCTTGACGCAAGCCTGCAGGCTGTGCACCCCAAGGCTTCCTGCAAGGCTGTCCTCCCAGAGGCCCAGGTTCCCTGTGGGGGTGGAGGACGGGGTGCTCCATCCAGGCTCACGCTGCACCCCGCACCACAGGGGTGGCGGCCACCCGGCTGCACAACAGGAAGTTCTACCCGATGGTGTGCTCCACGGCGGCCAAGAGCAGCATGAAGGTGATCCGCTCATGCGCCAGTGCCACCTCCTTGCAGTTCCTGTGTTGCTACCGCCTGCGCCAGCTGCGACCTGACTCAGGAGACACGCTGGAGGGCCTGCCCCTGCCACCCGGCCTGAAGCAGGTGCTACGCCACAAGCTGGGCTGGCTTCTCAGCACAAGCTGTGGCCGCCACCAGCCTCCCGCATCCTCACCCAAGGCCCCCACACACCCTGCCAGCCCCGGGCCCCGGCGCTGCCCAAGGAAGCGCTGCCAAAGGACCTGACTGACCTTCTGGGGTCCGCCGCCTCCTGGGGCTGGGCAGCATCCCCTCCGGCCCTTCCTCCAGCCACACTCTGGGGCCACAGCAGACGGAGGAGCTGGGCTGAGGGCCATCCCGACTGTACCCCTGCGCCTGAGGCTGTCAGACCCTGAGGGTTAGGGGCCACAGGCCAGCATCCTGAGAGCAGGATTGGTGCACCTGTGTGCCACGGGTGCTGGGTGTGCAGACAGGTGCTGCCCCGGCTCCTGCGGACTCAGGCTGCAGGCCTGGGAGGCCGGGCCTGCTGCCTGGACAGTCTCCTTAGGGCCTGCCGTCCCTGCCCACGGCCTCGGGTTTTTCTAACTTGCTTTGCATGTTGTCCGCTGTTCTTGTCTGAGACTGAAACAGTGTAATAAACTGAGTTTATGTCCGACCTACAGAATGGTAGAATGCAAGCAGCCCAGAGCCAGGTGGGGCTGAAGGTAGCCACAGCTTCCCTGTGGGGTCTGCTTGCCTTATGACACGCTGGGAAGAGACACTGGTCATCTCCCCTCAAGACCGTCTTACTGCTTCCCTCCTCTGAGGCTGCCACCTCCATGCCTCCAAGTGACCAGTGTTTGTCCCCTGCATGGGCCTTGGGCACACCCCAGTCCTCCACTCCCCATATCCCCTCTAGCTGGCTGGGCACCTCCTGGTAAGAGTTTCCTCTTCTGCCCATCCCAGTTATCCCAGGGCTACCCTGCATCCTCTCTCTGGGGTCAGGACTGGCAGAGGCCATGGCGGCATGCCTGTTCCTCCAGTCGGGTAGGAGCTGGGCTGTTGCCTGTCAGTGGGCCGCACAGCCTGCCTGCAGCCCTGGTGCCGGTGTCCCTGTCTGCCACAGGCCAAGAGCTCAGTGGGCTCCCCGTCTCACCACATCCCTGGTGGCCAACCAGAGCGCCCACCGGGGGGCACGCCCTATGCAGCCCCTCTCCCGTTCAGCAGGCTGGAAAACCCAACCCCTCACGACCGGGGAACTGCTATTCCCCCCATCCCCCAGGGTCAGGTGGATGACACCCCGCAGAGGCTCCAGCCAGTCTGGGGTCCACACCCCAGGAAACACCTGTGGGGACATTCAGGGAACTGCTCTCCGGCCTCGGTCGCGTGCACCCCAGCAGCTGTGAGGCTGGTGGCCACGGCCAAACCCAGGCCCTGGCAAGGCTGCCCCACAAGAGGCCTGGTGTCCAGGAGCGCGCCTCAGCAGCAGCGGAGTGCGGGCGCTGGCCCGGCCTCGGGGTAGCGGAGTGGCTCACCATCACCCACGCCGTGGGCCCCGTCCTTCGCCTACTGGTCGTGACCGCAGCGGCTGCCCTCTGCTCAGCTGCAGGGCTAAGGGGCTGCTCCACCTGGGGCTCCGGTCCAGACGCTGGGGCTCCGCGAGGTACTCGCAGCTCGGGGCGCCTAGGGGCCTCCATCAGGATGTCGGCACCCACATCTTCCAGGACGGCCGCGGGGGCCGGAAGAGAGAGCCGCCACTCGGACACCGCCCGGAGGGAGCGCGGGCTCCAGACCCCCAGTCTGCTCCAACCAGCTGCCCGCTGACCAGGCGCCTTCCGAAGCCCGGCCCGCCCCTGGGTCCTCGCACCCTGCCAGGCACCGGCCCGCCTGCTCGGGACGCAGCGCTTCGGACGCCGCTCTGCGTTCTGCCGGGGCTCTCGAGGCGGCGGCGGCCGGGGGCGAGACCCCGGCTGGGCGGCCGCCGCAGGCGTCAGACCGATGCGCGCCTCCGGGCCCCACGCGCGCCACTGCCAGCCGGCCTCCCCGGCGCTTCCGGCCGCGCCCGGCCGCTTTTGTGCGGCGCACCGGCCGCTTCCGGCGAATGCTTCCGGCGGGGCGCGGGCCATGGCGCGCGGAAAACGGCCGCGGCTCATCGCCGAGCTGGCCCGGCGCGTGCGCGCCCTGCGGGAGCAGCGGGAGCGGCCGCGCGACTCGCAGCGCTACGCCCTCGACTACGAGACGCTGGCACGGCCGCTCTCGGGCCGCCGGCTGCCGGTGCGGGCCTGGGCCGACGCGCGCCGCGAGAGCCGACTGCTGCAGCTGCTCGGCCGCCTCCCGCTCTTCGGCCTGGGCCGCCTCGTCACGCGCAAGTCCTGGCTGTGGCAGCACGACGAGCCGTGCTACTGGCGCGTCACGCGGGTCCGGCCCGACTACTCGGCGCAGGTGCGTGCCGGTGCTTGCCGCTGAGCGCGCGCCTCTGCCCCGGTGCCTGCGTCCGGCGGGCTCCGAGCTGATTCCTCCCCGTTTGCTTTGCAGAACTTGGACCACGGGAAGGCCTGGGGAATCCTGACCTTCAAAGGTAAGGCGGCCGAGCCCTGGGGGCGGCTGCTGCCAAGTGTTGGGAGAGCATGTGCGTTAAGCCCCGGGCTCTTCCCAGGACACACGGAGAGCGAGGCCCGGGAGATCGCACAAGTCATGTACCACGACTGGCGGCTGGTGCCCAAGCACGAGGAGGAGGCCTTCACTGCCTTCATGCCGGCGCCCGAGGCCGCGCTGCGATCGGTGCCCTACCCGCCGCTGCTCCGGGCCATGATTCTAGCAAAGCGACAAAAACAGGGGGACCCCAGCACCGAGGAGCCTGCGCTGAACCTGGGGAGGACGCGCATGGACCACTGGGACTACCCTGCGAAACTGGAGGCGAGGAAAAAGGCCAAGGGCACCGCGGTCTGAAGCGGGGCTGGCAGGCCGCCTGCAGCGGGTACAGAGAATCGCTTGGATCCGCTTGCCAGGGACTTGCTGAGACTGTTCTTAGGGCAGGGTGTAGGGGGTCTGCCCTCTGGCCTTGCTGTCACATCCGGCCCACATCCGACCGAAGGGCTCCCCCGCAGGAGCGGGCCTGGGGGAAAGCTGGAAGCAGAGGCGCAGCTGGCGGGGGGCCCGTGCAGGCACCTGTCACCGCCATGCCGGCGCCTCTTTCCCATTAGGTGTTGCATCTGCCCGACTCAGAAGCCGTGAACGCGAATAAAGCAGTGACGTAGCCCTGCGTTGTGGTCTCTGAGGTTGCGGCTAGGGGACCACAGCGGTTTAACCGCGGGACTGTGCGGGGAGGCCGGCCGAGGCGCTGGCGGAGGGGAAGACGGAGCGGGCAGTGGGGCACCCTCGGGCTGCGCACCGCACGGCCATGGGGATCCTGGGCTGGGCGTGAACGACGGGCACCGTCTCGCCGCGCCCGCGTCCACGTCCACAGCTACCGCAGCGCTAGGGCTGCGGGGCCCCTTTAAGCGCAGGCCCCGCCCCGCCGCCCCGCCGCCATCATGATCTGCCTGGTGCTGACCGTCCTGGCCAACCTCTTCCCCGCGGGTGAGCGCGGGGCCCGGCGGGCGGCGGACCAGGGGCCGGGGGGCGCACGGGGCGGCCTCGCCTGACGGCCCTGGCCGCCGCCCCGCAGCCTGCGCCGGCGAGCACGAGCGCACCTTCCTGGCTGTGAAGCCCGACGGGGTGCAGCGGCGGCTCGTGGGCGAGATCGTGCGGCGCTTCGAGAGGAAGGGCTTCAAGCTGGTGGCGCTGAAGCTGGTGCAGGTGAGGCGGGGCGGCGCGGGCGCGGGCACGGGGGGGGAGGCGCGCGGGACCCCGGCGCTCGCGGCCCTTCCCCACCCCCAGGCCTCCGAGGAGCTGCTGCGCGAGCACTACGCCGAGCTGCGGGAGCGCCCCTTCTACAGCCGCCTGGTCAAGTACATGGGCTCGGGCCCGGTGGTGGCCATGGTGAGTGCCGGCCGGGGGCGGGAGGCGGGGGGGGGCGGGGCGGGCCCCACGTGACCCGCCCGGGCCGCCCGCAGGTGTGGCAGGGCCTGGACGTCGTGCGTGCCTCGCGGGCGCTCATCGGGGCCACGGACCCGGCCGACGCCCGGCCCGGCACCATCCGCGGGGACTTCTGCGTCGAGGTCGGCAAGTAAGGCCGACCCCTCCCCAACGCACATCCGCAGGCCGACCCCTGCCCCCAGGGCGCTGCCGCCCGGGTTCACGCGCCTCTCCCGCAGGAACGTGATTCACGGCAGCGACTCGGCGGAGAGCGCCCGCCGCGAGATCGCGCTCTGGTTCCGCAGCGACGAGCTCCTGTGCTGGGAGGACAGCACCGGGCACTGGCTGTACGAGTAGGTCCCACCTCGGGCCCTCGGAAGGCCCTTCCCGCGGGGACCAGGACACCCCTTCAGGGCTTCCAAGAGCGCAGGCAGTGTCCGCCTGGCAGGCCCCGCCCCGATAAGCACTTAGCTGCCTACCCTGGCACAACTTGGTCTGGCATTACTTTTCACAATAAACTGGAAAAAAAACCCAAACCGTCTGTTCTTGTTAGTTTGGGCCCAGGGGACACTGAGATACGATGTTGACATTTATTACATACAGAATAGATACATAGGTTTGCTTGCAGGGCCAAAGACCGAGGATGGCGGTCACCCAGCCCCTTCCCCCAGCAGCACCCTCCCAGCTCCCCCCCCCCCACCCGGCACTTTATGGCCCTGTGGGAACAGATGAGGGACTTGACATACATCACAGTGGAGAGTGGCAGGGTAGCAGGAGAAGCCTGCAGGTGCACACGGCTGCAGCAGTGGCTGGCTGGACTCGAGGGAGGCTGCCCAAGATCTGTGCTTCTCTGGTGGGAGGTGGGTGGGCAGCAGGGCCTGGGCTGCTCTGACTAGTGCCTCTACGAGCAGGAATAAGGCCTAGGCCTGGGCAGGTGGGGGAGGCTCTGCAGGCCAGGGTAATGCCCCTCAAAGCAGGTGGGTGCACACCTAGAGCCAGCTGGAGGCAGCTCCTGTCCTTGGCCCTTAGCAGACTAGTCCACTGTCCTCAAGGGAGCAGGCCATGCTGCCAGCCCCAGGCACTTAGTAGGTCTTGGGAGCCAGGCCCCTCAGAGACTGCATGGGAGGCAGGCGCTAAGCACACCGTGCCAGTCACCCTGAGGCTGGACCTGTGTTCTAGGACTAACTCCAGCCCTGGCAGCCTAAGAAGTCCCACCCTGGGGGCTTCTGGGAGGGGCACGACTCCAGAACCTGCTCCTTCAAGGTGGGTCTCCTGCCCGGAGAAAGCTGGGGAGTACACAGGTGAAGGCCAGTGACAGCTTGCCCCACTGGGGGGCAGGATGAGGGCACCTGTGTCTTCTCGAGCAGCTGTCCCAGGGAGCCTCGTTACGAGCTATCATGCCAGTTCCGGGATGGCAGGGATTGAGCGGGGGGAGCCCAGGGAAGGCCAGTGGCTGAGCTGGCCCCCCTTAGGGTTGGACCCCCACCCCTTCAGGCAGCAGGCAAAGGCAAGCAGGGTCAGGGTGGGAAGACAGTGTGGTGAAGCACCCGCAGGGTTCCAGAAATAGGGGTAGTGGGGAGCCCGGGGTAGGGCTGGGGACCGCCTGCAGGGGCTTCCTTCAGCCTGACCCACCCTGGAGTTCTGCCTGGCTCTGGCCCTGAAGTGCTCCTGTGACTTGAGGACTTTGGGTTGGGCACCAGCCAGGAGCTGCTGGGGAAGGGGTCCCGAGAGGTTCTGCCCCAACCTGGTGAGAATGCTACCCCACTCCCCGCCACCCTCCCAGCCCATACCCTGTGGGCCGCTCCTGCCAGCTCACGAGGAGGCCCAGACCTAAGGTGAAAGCTGCAGGTTGAGAGGTTAGAAGAGGGTGGAGCACACCTGGCTGCCTGTGGGCGGGTGGTGGGCAGCAGGTGGGGTTGTATGTACATATGGCATCAGGTGAGGCAGTGGGGTGACAGCCTCACTCGGGGGCATAGGACACCTGCCACACAATGATGTGGCTGCGCTCAGCCTTGGACAGCATGGGCTTCACCTGGACCCCGTCCCCTGCACCATCCTCCGCCTCGTCATCCTCTCCGTCGCCTGCAAGGAGGGCAGTGAGAGGCTCGAGGCAGCCCACACTGGGACCCTGGCCCAGGAAGCACACTCACCAATGCGGAAGTCAATGTAGCCTTCCCCACCGCTCAGCACCAGCACGTTCTGCAGCTTCTGGCCCTCGGCGTCGGCAGCAGAAGCAGCAGGCCCTGGACTCTCGGATGGACTGTCTAGGACGCTGCCATTCAGAGTGGCCAACACGTTCCCTGTCATCGGGGCACAAGGGACTCAGGAGCAGCCAGAGACCCACACTAGCTCCTGAGGGTGGTCAGGGCGGCAGCAGCCTGCATAAAGCAGCCCAGCCTCACCTGGCACTGACACAAAGAACTTGACGGCATCCCGATGCCCGTGGAAGCAGAGCTGGGCCTGGGCCATGGAGCAGTAGGGGATGAAGCTGCTGGCAGATTTGTCACCGCTGTCGTCGCCGTACACATGGATGACGCCCCCTGGGCGGGCCCCTTCCCCGCACGTGGGAGATGTCTTGTTGGCTGGGGAGAGAGGGGCCTGGAGAGGCTGAGCCCACCTGCTGGGAGGGCCCATTTCTGGAGGGCGGACAGTGGGGACCCCAGGGCCACAGGGGAGGGGCAAAGCCAGCCTCAGCCCATGGGCTGTCCTGGGCAGGGGACTTCCTTGAGTGCAGGAGGAGGGTGCTCTGAACTCACCTCGGAGCCCCAGGAGCTGGCCTCGGTGCAGGACCACGGCTGGGGAGGCGAGGGGCCGAGCATGGAAGGGAGAGGAGAGGAGCTGTCACGGGGGGGCGAGCTGGGCGGCCAGCGTCGTCCTGGGTGCGGCCTGGCAGAGCACACCTGCCCCAAGCCCTGACCCTGTGCCCTTCAGTGGCAGCCCCCGCCCCAATACCCGGGGTCACTCACTCTCCGTCAGCGGGATGGAGATGACGACTCCATTGCCAGTGCCCACCCAGAGGCGGCTGCCCGCGATGAGCAGGGCCGTGATGCGCACGAAGGAGAAGCCCAGCTTGCCCGTGCCTGGGGTGGGAGGTGGGGTCAGCACGGCCAGCTGGACATCCCCCAGCTCCCCAGCACACCCAGCCCAGCGCAGCCCCTCACCCAGCATCTTGCTGACGTAGGGCTCGATGTCCACGTCCTGCAGGTGCTGGTGGGTGTGGGCGTGGTAGAGCCGCAGTGTGGAGTCCAGGCGGATGGACACCCACACCCCGTCACCGATCCACGCCAGCTGCCGCACCTGGCTCTCCCGCCTTGGGTGGGCATCGAATGACTTCTGCAGGGTCACGGCAGCCCCGTCAGTGGGGGTGGGGGTGCCCTGTGTCTGCGGCAGCTGAGGCACCCAGGCCACTCCTGTGTGGCCTGCGCTCAGTGCACCCTTCCTGCAGCACTGCTTCACCACTGTGGGTCCAGGCTCCTGGAAGTGGCCCCACCCCCCACCCCCGAACTCTTGGTCTGCAGCCCGATGGCCCAGGGGAGGTGTGTGGGGCCCCCATAGGTGCTAGTCTGACTTGCGACTGGGCGAGTTGCCCTACTGTTTGCCTGTGACCTTGGACAAATGAGTCAATGCCCTGAGCATGTTTCTTTTAACCCCACGAAGCCCCCAACACCTGTCAGAAGGTCGTTGGGAGCAAGGCTGCAGCAGGAGCCCCCTCGCCTCCCGCAGCCCCTGCCCGGCACTCGCCTCGATCTGCATAGTCTTGGGCTGGATGACGTGCACCTTGTTCTTGTAGCCGCACCAGACACGGTCGTACACGACAGCCATGCAGCGGATGGAGTGGTGTGGGTGGCCCAGGTCCATCAGGTGATAGTTGCTCAGGTCCCACTGGCCATCTGCAAGAGCCCAGAACACTGGCTCAGCCTGGCCAGGGCCCACATCTGCTCGCTGGGGGGCGGCTCACCTGCCTGGTCCCAAAGGCCTCACCTTCACCTCGGTGGAAGATGGCCAGAGTCCCGTCTGCAAGAGCCACGAGCACCCGCCCTTTCACATGCCTGGAAAGGGAAGGTGGCGAGCCAAGCTTAGGCCAGGACACCAGGCCCCTCCCACACCCGGCCCGGCCAGGGTCACATACACCAGGCTCAGCACGGAGTCCTTCAGCTTGATGGAGTGCAGACACTGCTTCCAGTTGGCCACAGCTGAGTGCACGTAGAGCCTGTGGGAGGAGGCGGTAGTGGGTGGGGGGCTCGCCTAGAGGTCCCCACGAATCCCGACCTCCAGGGCCCTGCATACCAGCCATTCTGGGCTCCCAGCCACATGGTTGGCGCAGCACTGCTACTGGGCCCTGAAGAGCCTCCATTGGGCTGCGGCTTGGGTTGCGTACCACTTCCATCGGCTTCTGGCCCTTGTTCACTGCGGAAAGGAGGGCGGCTCCGAAACGGTCCATGGGAGCCTGTCCCACCCACCTCTACCATTCTCCCTGTCCTTCACCTCCATCCCAGGAGCCCACCTGCCAGGCTGGGCACTGGGGCCTGGGGTGGGGGCCAGGTCAGTGAAGACGTGCTCTGTGAGAGGCCCAGGCCGCACTGTAGCTGCCTCTGCCTCGCTGGGCCCAGAGTCTGGCACCTCTGTGGCCTCTGTGGCCTCCTCCGTGGACTGAGATGGGTTGACCTTCCCACTGGCGACAGCCGCCACCTCCCCTGTGGAAGGGAGGGATGAGTGTGGCTGGGCATGGGCAGGAACAACGGGGCAGAGAGAAGACGGCCAGCAGGCTCACGCCCCGGCCTCACCCTGGCCCTTGTCCAGCACTGGGGTGTCCCCTCGGGAGGAGCAGGTGCTGCGTGGCACGTTGCAGCGGGTGGCACAGCCCACGAGGGTGATGCCGGCCAGCACGCCATCTGCACCGGAGTCCTCAGGGTTCATGTCGCTGTCCAGGAAGATCTCCCCTGGAGGGTAGTCGCTGTCACTGGCCGCTGTGGGGAGAGGCACGGCCCCATCAGCCACGCGGAGGGGCCCCTGCCGCAAGGCCACACCCAGAGCTCCAGTCCCAGCGCAGGTGCGAGGGGAGAAGTGGGGGGCTGCTGGCCACGCCTACCCCCAAGTGCCCCACACTTCCAGCTGGCCCCCGGCTCCTCTCACAGAGCCCGGCCAGCCTCCACTTGTGGGCACCCCTGCTCACAGTCACCTGCCTGGAAGCCCAGAAACCTAGCAAGCTTCCTCTGTCCGGTTGGCTCTAGGTCAAGAGGATTGTCGACACAAGACTCTGGTGTCTGGGAGCAGACAACGTGTGACCGCGTGACAGATTTCAAGAGCCCTGAAGAGCTTGGCCATCTCAGCAGCACCCCTGCCCAGACCTGGTCACCCCTCTCCTGCACGTCCCACAGCCAGGGCGTGCAGGGGGGTCTAGGCCCCACCAGCAGCTGACGCTCAGCCCTGGATTGATGCTTCCACCTGCCAGGGGCCTGCTGCTCATCCTAAGGCCCAAACCCTCTCCTTTCATTCAGGGGAGTGGCAAGACTGCCAGCAAATGCCACACCACGTGCCCCACACCAGCCCCGGGCGTCCACAGCTGCCACAGGAAAGTGTTGCTGCTCTGCTGGCCTCGTTACCCAGTGCCCTGTGTCCCGAGCAGCTAAGCCCCCTCCTGGACAGAGGGCAGCAGCACTCACCAGGGATGCTGGAGATGCACAGGACGTGGGCATTGCACACGGTGAACTGGTCCACAACAGTGCCTGGCTGGTTGGCATCAATGATTACCACCTTGCTGGTGCTCAGCGTGCTGGTGAGGACCCATACCCGGCTGGAGGTGGCGTCCGCCTCCGGGGTCTCCTTTGCCTGTTTCAGAGCATGGGAGACTGAGGCTGCTGCCAGGAGGCTGGGACTCAGCCCTTCACTTTCTATCCAGATCACGGGCTATGTGACCTTACTTCCACGGGGGAACACTGTGAGCTTCAGGTGGTTACATCACTGGCCCCTGGTTCAAGCCGAGACTCCAGGGCAGAGCCTCTGCAGCTGCCTCCTGCGCTCAGCCCGCCCGCTGCTCCCACACTGCTTGGCAAGGAGGGGGCCACCGGGGCAGCTGCCCCAGCCTGCTGCCACCCATGCCCCCCAGTCCCGGAAGGGACTGTGGGGGACGTGCCACAGCGCCTGGCTCCTGGGGCTGGGCAAGAACCAGGAGGCAGCTGAGCCTCAGGCCTGCTGGGGGAGAGGGGAGTGCCCATGGGGCCGACCCATGCACTTCCCCCCCAGCTGTCCTCTCTGCCACTCCCGTGCAGACTCTGGCACCAGGTGCAACCTGAGCACGCCCACCATGGCAGAGACGGCAGTCTGGCCCTCCAGTCACTGTGGGCAGGATGGCACTGCACTGCCTGCCCCGCCTACCTTCTTCTCGGGGGATGTGTGGCTGCTCCTGGTCTCTCCTTCCATTTCTCGGTCACAGGTCAGGGGGTCACGGCCTGGCACAGGCCTGACAGCACTCCCAGAGTCGTCCTCGCCTGGCTTCCACCGGCTCAGATTGACGCCCGCGGCACACCATAGCTGAGAACAGGAGCGTGAGGTCCCGTGAGCTCTTTACGGTCAGCTGGCCCCACTGCTTCCCAGACCTGCCTGGACTCAGCCAGGTGGAGCCCTTTCCTGCCTTGCCCCCTCCCGCCGGGCCCAGACTCCACGGAGGGACCTTCATGGTTGGGTCCTTCTCCACCAGAGGACGGCAGTACACCGGGACAGGCACGTTCTTCATCCGAGTGTCCTCCTGGCCCCCACTGGGACTCAGCTGCAACCAAAAGGCACAGAAGATCCGTGGGTAGGAGGTCTGGGAGGCTCAGGTGCGTGGCAGGGTGCTGAAGCTGGCGACTGGGCAGAGCCAGGCTCTAGGAAGATGGGGTGGTGGGGGCATGGGGGACTCCCCAAATAGCTCCCCGTCTGCAAGCCAGACTGAGGGCTCCAAGCCCTCCCTCGTCCCCGCACCGCAGCGCACCCGGCCCCGCGGCACCTGCTTGTACTTGGCCGGCAGGCTCCAGCCGCAGGCCTGCAGCCGCCCGTCGTCGTTGCGCACGTGCTCGCGCACCTGGCGGTACTGTTCCCGCTTCTGCTCGCGCCGCGCAGAGGAGGTGCAGTCGCTGGGCGGGAGGAACCGGAAGTCACTTCTTTAGGCGGTGACCGTCAGTCCCACGGACCTCCCAGGGAGCTGGACCTCCTGGACCGGCCTGCCCCTTCCCTGCTGAAGACTGGCCTCTGCCCTGTGGGCAGCATTTGACGGCAACTCCCCAGCTGCGGCCGCGTCGTGTGCCTGTCCTTGCTCAGAGGTCTGTTCCGTTGCTGCTGTCACTAAGGGCCAGCGGGCAGGGCCCTGCGGTGCAGACCTCCACACCCGGCCTTTCCAGAAAAACTTTCAGACTTGACACAAGGCACAGGATTTCCCATTGCTGCCCTCGGGCCAAATTCTTGGTTTCAAAACTAAGGAAAACACAAACTTCCCAACGGACACCAATTCCACAGGAAGAAATCCAACCCCGCAGGGACACTTCCTGTCAATTCCCTAATCCCTGGGGGGCAGGCGTGCAGGACAGGGAGGCCGCAGCCCTCCGACTAGGGGGTCGGCAGAGGGCAGCCTCTGCCCAAGGATGCCCAAGGATACCCAACGCTCCCACGCGGGTAGGGGCACAGTGCGCGCGCAGAGAGCTCATGGCACTGATGCCTGGCTGGCCCCCCTGCCGTGGACCCCTTCCCCGCACAGCTCAGGGCACGGGACCCCCTGTGCAGGCGGGACGCTCGCTCACTCTTCCGGGAAGAACTCCAGGGGCCGGCTGCCGGCGGAGATCGGGCACATGGCGTGGCTGCGGCGCTGGCTGAAGCCGGCGGTGGTGGGCGACTTGTAGTGGATGTTCACGGAGGGGTAGGCCCGCTTGGCCGGAGGGGGGCTGGAGGAGGAGCTGAAGAGGCGGCTGAAGCTGCGAGGGGCACGGAAGTGAGCGGCCGGCCCGCGGGGAGGGCCCCGCCCCCGCCCCCGCCCGCGGGGGCCCCTGACTCACAACTGCCAGATGGTGGACTTCTTCTTCTCCTGGACAGACGGGTGCTCACGGGAGGCTCTACAGGGGCACAGGGGAGGAGCCCGACTCGGCCACCGGCCACACCCACTCGGCCCCGGCCACACCCCGCCCAGTCAGACCCTGCTCCGCCCCTCTCCTTGCCTGGGGCCCTCCCCTCGGCCCCACTCGGAGCGGAGCGTCTCCCCTGGCCGGGCTGGGGCTGCCCCGGGGAGGCCCTGCTCTCCCAGCCCCTCTGACTCCCAGGGGGAGGACTCAGCCCCCTTCCAGTACTCCCAGAAGGGAGGTGGGCTGGAGGTCAGGGCCTCTTTACAGCAACCACGGCTGCCGGCGGCCCCACCTGATCATCTCCGTCCACCGCACGGCCTCCTGTAGCTCCATCAGCCGCTCCTTGTACTGGTTGTGCTCCATGAGCACGCGGGCCATCTCCACCCGTGTGAAGCGGCGTCGCTGGGCCATGGGGATCTTGTCCTGCAAGACAGAGGCACTGCTGCTCGGCCAGTGATGCCAGGTCACTTGGCACTTGCTCTGGGACAGGCCTCCGGGGGTGGGTGAATTCCCCCACCATTCCTCAGGCCCATGCGGTGGGGAGGGTGTGGACAGGAGGACAGGAGACAAGAGTATCTGTCCCCGACAGGACCACCTTCTTTCCAGAAGGTCATACAGTACGCTGGGGTACTACTCAGTGACAGTGCCCAATGCCTCCTGTCAGTGCTGACAGGTGAGGCGGGCCCAAGGCAGGAAGGCAGGAAGAGAGGCTCCAGGGAAGGCAGCAAGCAGGACCAGGGTGCTACGTCTGAGTGGGAGACTGGTGCATCTGCACAGGGTCTGCTGCCGGTGAGTCCTGGGGCAGGGCCCTCTACTCTGCACAGCTACAGGCCGGCATGGGGTTGGGGGTGCTGGCAGGCCAGTGAGGGCAGGCACCCTCCCCAGGGGCCCTCCCCACCCAGCATGGAGGTGCAGGTTGCAGCCCCAGGGTCCACACGAGGGGGTCTGCCCTGTGTTCCAAGCCGGAGGCCTTGGAAGCTTTGTTCCTCTCAAGAGTTTCTGCAGGTGACACAGGAGGGGCATAGAGACGGCTCCTGTCCACCGAGTCCCTGCAATGTGACCGGCCTCCTGATGCGAGCAGCCAACCACCCCGAAATCAAAGAGCCGATGAGCGGTGAGGCCGGCAGCCAAGAGCCCCTCGGGCTGAAGAGTGCGCCTTGAGGAAGGCGGCCAGGTGGCTGGGCCCAGGCCTCTATTCCAGGCAGCAGCTGGAAGGGGTCTCTGCTGGGAAGGCCAAACGCCCCTACCAGCCCCCCAACCTGAACAGCCACTCCCGGGAACCCCCAGCGAGCAAAGAGCAGAGGGCTTTCCTCAGAACACTCCATGCACCTCAAGGGGACTTGGGGGCAGATGGGGGTCTGAAGGTCTCAAGCTGCCCCGTCTGGGGGACAGTGGTGGCTGGCGCTCTTTCTGCAGCGCTGCTCTGCAAGTTGGAGCACCCGAGGTAGCAGCCAGGCAGCACAGGCTGGGAGACGCCCCGGAACTGTGCAAAATGCACTCACTAGGGCCTGGGGCTGAGAGGGGGTCCTGTTCTGACTTCACCTTGGGGCTGGGGCAATGTCACACAGGAGGGGTGAGGAGGGCTCGGGGACCCGGAAGAACTAGCACGTCCCTGGGGCCCACCCCGTGCTGCCCGCCCCCATGCCCACATGTTAATAGTGGAATATACCAGTTCTGTACAGAGATAGCTGCTCACATCCTCCACCTCTTCTTTGGGTTCGCGGCGGGCAGTGATGGCCTCCGACTTCACTCTGTGGGGCAAGGAGGGAAGCGGGGCAGGGGTAATGCTGTGTCCCGCAGCTCAGGATCAGGCCCTCAGCATCCCTGGGGACAGGTGGCCCCACACGCTGCTCACGTGTCCTTGAAACCCAGGCATCCATCCTGGCTGCTGCAGCCAAGGGCTGGGACTCCCACCCGGGCGGCAACCTCACAGACGGTGGGGCGAGCCGCACAGGGGTCACCCCCCTCGGGGCTCCGCCCACACCCCCTCTCCCTCTGGGGCCGAGGGCTCTGCTCCAGGACACCGGAGCACCGTGCCAGCGGGAAGCGAGAGGCTACAGGCGAGGGTGTGGTGCTGCGGGGGAGACCCCCGGGCTTCCCGATAGGGCTCTGAGGCTGAACCCCGGGTGACCTAGGGCGGGGAGCTTGGGGTCCTGGGGACCCTCAACCGTCCGTCCTCCCGTTCTCCTGAATGAGCATAAAGGTGTGAGCGCAGCAGGAAGGCCTGCTCAGCCTCCAGAGAGAGGACACCCAAGATGTGACCTCCGCCCCTCGGGGGATTCCCGTGAGATTGGCGGAGGGGCCAGGTGGCCAGCAGCACAGTGGCCAGGCCCGGGTGGAGTCCAGCAGGACGGGGAGCTGCAGGGGGAGGGGGCGGAGCAGTGCGCGCAGGCCCACCTCGGGTAGCGAACACCTCAGGGGTGCGGCCGGCCCAGCACTGGCCGGTGGGGTGGGGAGGTGGCAGGCGGCAGGAGGGCGGCTGCCCCTTCCGCGGATCCCTGCCCACCGCGCCAGCCACGCCCCGGGCCCGCCCACCTCCTCAGCTCCTCCTCCAGGTCCTTGATGCGGCCCTCCAGCCTGAGTTTGGCCTGCTTGGCAGCTTCCAGGTCCCCCTTCAGCACCTCCTGCTCCCCAGACAACTGGTCCACCTTGGCGATGAGGTCATTCTTCACCACGTTCAGAGCGTTTCTTGGGAAAGGCAGAAAGATGGGAGCCGTGTGTACCACTATACACATCATGTGATGGGGGTTCCAAAGGGGTACACCTGCACCTGTGTGGCTGAGGAGGCACACCCTGGTCGGCCCAGAACGTGGTGACACGCGGCGACCTCCCGTCCCAGCCCCAGGAGGAGCGAGCTGGGGCAGGTGGTCCTGACCCTGGCCCTGGGGCTGGGCTGCCTTGTCTCAGGGAGGCCCTGGCCCTAGCGAGGTACAGGGGGGAGCGTCCTTACTTGGTCTCCAGAAGCTGCGAGTTCTCCAGCAGCAGGTTCCCCACTTCCTTGCCCATTCCTGAAACGGGAGGTGCGGAGGTAAAGCCAGACCTGAGCCACTGCGCCTGCCTCAGAGCATCACACAACCCCCACGGGGCGGGCCGCCCCAGAGAGCAGATGCAGGGGGGCCCAGAGGCTGCACCCGCCCCAGGCCACTGCACAGGGAGGCCGTGCGGCCTGGGAAGAGGCCTCTGCTGGTCTCCTCGCAGGCTCTGCTCCCAACAGCGCCGTCAGGGGTGGACGGCTCTGGGCACACTGAGCAGGCCAGGCCCTGCTGCCTGTGCAGGCAGAGCAGCCCAGGGCATACTCTGGACCGCAGGGGTGGGCTCTCACAACTCTGCCAGCACGGATCTGCGCCGGCCGGGCCACCAGCACAGCCCGAGCCAACCCTGCTGGCCTCAGTGCAGCCACATCCTCTCTGCCCTCCCCCCTGCCCTAGGGGTTCCAGGTCCCTGTGGGGCTGCCCCAGGGAGAATGGGGGCTGGTGCTGTGGGAACAGGGACAGAGAAGACAGCACAGGATGCAGAGAACACAGCTGACAGGAAGGGACGGCCCTATGGCGATTGTGCCCTCGGCTGAGGCTGGGAGGACCCGGCCAGGGCAGTGGACGGGGGCAGGACCCCACAGACCCAGCTCTGGGCAGGCATGTCACAAAACCACCCAAGGGACTGAGTCTAATTCTTCGTGACAGTCTGGGAAAGCCAAGGGCTGCTCCCCCCATTCACTTCCCTCTGCGGCCTCACGTGCCCATGAGACAAGATCACATGCCAGGTGTGCCCGTGCCTGGGCTCTGCCTGCCGTCCCACCCTCACATCCTTGCCTCGAGCCTGACAGCCTCCCTCCCTGACGGGGTGCACCCAACAGGCTGGGGGCGCCCGGAGGCCAGGCTACTGTGAGAGAGGCTGCTGGGGAGTCACAGCACCAGCTCCCCATGCCCACCAGAGGCCCCACCGCCGCCCACCCTGGCCCCGCCCCGCCCAGGTGCCGGGGACTGGGGGGGCCTGCGAAACTACGGGCCAGGCCCCTGAGCCCCCCCGCCGCTGCCCCCCCAAGCAGAACCAAGCAAACAGCTCATGAAGCGTGAGGAGGTGTCGGGTGGGCCGAGGGAACCGGAAGAGAGACAAACATACTGAAATGGGGCCTTGGCCTTACCAAAAAAATCATCGCGCACTATGGGAGCGTCAGGTCCCCCGGGAGATGGGCAGATGGGCAACCGGGGCAGGAGGACGGAGAGAGGGAGGGAGAGAAAACAAGCGCGTTAAGCTGAGTGAGCTGCAGGTGGGGCTCTCCAGGGATACTTCAGGCGGGCTAGGGGGCAGGGGACGGGGCGCAGCCAGCAGCTCCTGGGAAGCTCATCCTTGGGGCTGCAGAGGGCACCAGGCCAAGGGCACCTGGAGGTGAGGGGGAGGGTCAGGGCAATGCAAAGGACATTTTACACAAAAATCCTGGTTGTGGGGGAGGTGAAAGGATGGGAGAAGTCTGCCAACGCCTTTGAGATGCCTGTCAGGCCACACTTGGATGGGGGTGCTGCTCAGAGGGTCCTACCAAGAAGCAGCCTCCCACATGGGGAGAGGGCCCTGAGCTGTGCTTGGCAAGGGCTTCATAGGAGCCCTGACCTCTGGGGTGCACCCAACAGAGGGCAGATGCTGCAGAACCGGACCTGCTTCCTTGTCTGCGGAACTGTTCTGTGGTAATGGCTCCAGAGAACCTTAAGCAGTGGCCCTGGGGAAACCTGGCTTGGAGAAGATGGGGTCAGGGGCACAGCAGCTCCCCCGTGGATGCCAAGGTCACTGTCAGTGGGCTAGTGGAGCAAAACCAAAATAAGCTTCCAAGCAGCGGTCGACTGGCAAGCAAATGTGCCTCAGGCCTGAAACAGAACTGGGGGATTGGCTGCACAGCCAGGGGTGACTGACAGCATCAAGGAGCATCCCAAGGTGCCACCCCGTTCCACCCGGGCCCTACTGTGGGGAGGTGGGGCCACAGACAGAGTGGGATACGCACCTGAGAACTCCCCTGGAGCGTGTCCAGCGAAGCACAGAGAGACGGGGGAAAGAAGTGATAGAGGTCAATTGGTGACTGGAATACACAAAACAAAGAAATTCTTACTAAAGAAAAGCAACAGTGACCAGTTATTTCCATGTCGAAGGGTATGAATGAATACGAGCACGTCACCAGGCCTGCGGGTGACAAACCCCACAGGGACAGAAACCCTAAAGGGAAAGGGAGGCCAGGACGGGGGTCCAGAGTCCCATGTGTTATGTGGGGGCGGCCGTGGGAATTCAAGGCCTGCTCCCCCTCCATTCCCAGTGCACATCGACCGCAGGCCTGGCTCCCTGCCGACGGGCAGACAAGGCCTGCACAGACGGGCTGGTGCGACAGTGGCTGTGCGAGCGGGATCTAATGGTAGTTGTCTTTCTCTGCCTGGTTTATTTCCCTTAGCCTGATACCCTCTAGGTCCATCCATGTCATCTCACAAGGCAAGACTTGCTTCTTTTCTATGGCTCAGTAATATTCCACTGTGTATGTGTATCACATCTTCTTTTCGATTCATCTATGGATGGGCGCTTGGGTTGCTTCTGTGACTTGGCTATTGTAAATTGTGCTGCAATAAACATAGGGGTGCACCTATCTTTCCAAACTAGTGATTTTGTTTCTATGGGTAAATTCCCAGAAGTGGAATTGCTAGGTCATATGGTATTTGCTTGTAGTTTTTTGAGGAACTGCCATGTTGTTTTCCACAGTGGCTGCACCAGTTCACATTCCCACTGTGATGGGAAGGAGGGATCCCCTTTCTGCACATCCTCGCCGACACTTGCTGTTCCTTGTCTTTTGGATGGTGGCCACTCTGTCTGGTGTGCGGGGATACCTCGCTGTAGCTTTGGTTTGCAGGTCCCTGAGGATCAGCGATGGGGAGCATCTTGTCTTGTGTCTGGTGGCATTTGTGTGTCTCCTTTAGAGAAATGTCTGTTCAGGTCCTCTGCCCATTGCTTAACTGGATTATTTGTTTTTTTGGTGTTGAGTTGTTAAACATTGTTTCCAAAAGCCGAATCACAGGAAAACAATTCCATTCACAATTGCATCAAAAAGAATAAAATACCTGGGAACAAACCTAACCAAAGAAGTGAAAGACCTATACCCTGAATACTATAAGACACTCTTAAGAGAAATTAAAGGGGACACTAACAAATGGAAACTCATCCCATGCTCTTGGCTAGGAAGAATTAATATCGTCAAAATGGCCATCCTGCCCAAAGCAATATACAGATTTGATGCAATCCCTATCAAATTACCAACAACATTCTTCAACGAACTGGAACAAATAGTTCAAAAATTCATATGGA